AGCACCATTGAACCCTCGCCTCCACGGTCGTCAAGGACTAGTCGCAACGGAAGACATACCCGAAATTACCCGAAACTCACAAAGAGGTGCTTCCGACTGGGCCGAGCCAATCGACGTTGCAAGGGGCCTTGGACTACTTTCAGGCTTGGAGTTCTCGTTCTAAAGGGCTTTCAAAGATGCAACGCTGAAGTGGGGCAGGACCTGGGAAGGGTTCTCAGCTCAGGGCATTTGTGGGCTCAGAGCTTTAGCCCTTCTCCAATCCCAAGAATCTGTAGAGAATGTACCGACAGCTGAGGATGGGCTTCTGTAGACTTAGACAAGCTCGCCGCTGAAGGCCGATGTCCGTGCTGGTGACGTCCTGCTCGGAGACCCTGCAAGGCGCGAGTTGTTCTTACTTTGAGGGTCCCCCACCGGCCCAGGTCACCCGAAGTTGCGGAAATTTAATCAACAGCGTGACCAGACGTCCTAAACCACAAACCCTACGGGCCCAAGCGCCCAGCCCAATAGCGCAACCCACACGGACCTGTTCGTCCTCGGCCGGCCTGCGCAGTTTCTTCGGCGAGGGCGGCTCCGTCGCATTGAAGCGCGTGGGCCTCCAGGCCGAGAGGGTCCAAGCTTCGGCGGATTCGGACTCCGAACGCGAACGTTAAACGTCACGATACATACATACATACATACATACATATATATATATATATATATGTATATGTATATGTATATGTATATGTATATGTATATGTATGAATTTATTCATTTCTGTGCAGGGCGTACCTTCCTGGGCGTACCTGTCTGTACATATATATATATATAGATGCATGCATTCTTTGCTTTGAAGTATATTTCATGACAATATCACCATGTATAGCCTGCCATCGAAGCGCCTGCTGTTTCGGATCGAGATTTGAATGTTGGGGACTTCGGGCCCGGGCCTGCCTTGAGAGGAGCCCTCAACCCTGAACCCGAATCCCGAAATCCTTAAATCCCTAGATCCTTAAATTTTGGCCCTAAATCCCTAGGCCCTAAACCCTGAACCCTTAAACCCTAAACCCCTAAACCCTGTTGTGTTCGGATCCAGGAGCGCATCCCGGCAGATTACCCTCGACGAGAGCGCCTGGTGCTGCCCGCCGCGGTTCAGGGCAAAAGGGCCAGGGATTGAGTTTAGGGTTTAGGGTTGTTTCAGGTCCGGCGTCCTACCCAACGAGCCGCTTCGGGAAAATGCCGGTGTTACAGGAAAGACTAGAGGTCGGAGAGCACTTAATTGCTTAAAGACGATGCAGAACGTACATCGTATGTTGTTGGTCGAGCAAGCACTTCAGTTGCGAGGGTGTTTCGGCTTGAAGGATGGACAAAGGTTTGCAAGGAGTTTGGAACAGGTTCCGGGCGTGTGTACGAGTCTTTGGCAAAGTGCCCGTACCACAGCCTCCATGTCCTCATGAAAGCAAGAGCCTGTGCTATGCGTAACTGAAGATCCAATTCCGTTGCCAGCGCTATCTGCCGGTCGTTCTCTTGACCGAAGTAGACAAGGACCTGGGGTGCTGAGTTGCTGGTGCACCGATGCTTTGTAGTCGAGATTCAGCGTTGAGGCTTGGGCCTCCATTTCTTGGGAAGGTGCTGCCTCGAGGTCATGGCAGATCTGTGGGTGGAGACGTGGAGAATGAGCGGTTCCATGGTTGCTTGCGGGTGGAATCGGCATACGTCTTGCTTTTGAAAGTTTACTGTAAGTGAAAGATGGGTGTAAGTGCCCTTGGACACGCGGGGCCAAGTCTGCGAGATCACTGAAGGTATTGTGCGGAAAAAAAGGGGATTCTACTACAACATTGAGCCCACCAAAATGACCCTACTTTCACAGTCGCTCCTTTGGCCGGGGTCGAGGAAGCTCCGTCACGCCAGGCAGGCCAGACGCTTGTGGCCAAGCCCCAGACAAAAAAGCCTAAACTGGACAAACCCGAAACAACGCAAGTCCTAGTCATGGCCACTACCCTAAAGCCCAAGATGAATCCTGAACCAAGTAGGCCAAGGCCGCAACGCACACCCTAAACCTTCAGACAAGTTGCGGGCAGGAGCGCGGCACGGCGCAGGGCGCTGCGGCCTTAGTAAAATCCGCGTAGCCTGTCAAACTCAGAAGCCGCCAATCCCAATCACTGAACCATACAGCTTTACAGCCCCGATCCAAAACCGAAGGGCATCGATTTCCCGCTTTGTGTTTTTGCACTTCGGGGCTTGGTCCCTAAATCTGGCTGCATGAATTAGTCGTGGTTGATCCTCAGCGCTTTACGGCTGAACCTTTTCCGGAGAGTCGATACAAACCTGTCATTTGGCTAAGAGGTTCTGACATATGCTCGAGCAATTGAATTCTGTGGAGACCGAAACACCCAAAGTTCCCTCCAAGCCCCCCATAGACCGCACACCCAACCACTGACTTGTTGGAAGGACCAGACTGGCGTCGGGGCTTCGCTAGCAAACCTGAAAATGATGCATCAATTGTTTATTTCGTTCGCCCTGAAGACCAAAGCAACTGTTGGCTAAGAACAAGCTTGACAACCTGAAGACTTCGAAATGCCGTGCAGGTTTGGCTGACTCTCCGCACAGGAAGACTGTTAGGACAGCGGGACTGGGGGGGGTCGCGGGTGCGGGGGCTGCCCTTACATTCGAAACGCCTCAGGCAGAAGGGCCTGAGGGTTTCGGGGACTTGAGTAAAGCGTTCTTGCTTCCAGGTTTGGCACATTCAACCTGTGGACTGCATAAGCAGGGTAGCGGTAGCAGGAGCCAGGATATGAAGGAGTGTTCACTTCATGCCGGTGGACGCAATCAGCTTTTGGGTTTCTGGGGAGAGACTGTGCGCAATAGTGGCCGTGATAGAGTACGAGTGGACGCAAGACGTTGCCGCTCTATGCCCCTCCGATTTACACTCATCCGATGACCAAGTGTCGTGTGTTCGGCTCCCATGCCTCTCTTCCGTACCATTACTTGTGTGCAGTTGTGACCCTCATGTGCCTGTCGGAAGCTTTGGGATTTTCGGTTGTTGCAGCCATGTTTGACAAGCTCAGAATTGCAACTGCCCCCCCCCCTAAAAAAAAGAAACAAGTGACATAGGAGCCCGAACTCAACCCGTAATTGTCGCTCCCCCTCGACCCCGGCTCTTTCACGACGGCATGGGCACGTTCGATCCTTAGCACAAATATACGCGAAGCAGGGTCTCCTTGTCTGCGTCAGGTGACCTCATCGATGTCTTCCACAGCCGGCCAGACCCCAAAGAGGGCAGCCGGACAGAAGGAAGGGCAGCAGCGTTTCGGAGCTTCCCGTGTGCTAGGCCCAGAAGTCGCAGGAGAAGATTTTAGAGTGAGAGCCGGTTTTTGCACGTTGAGGGCCTTTGGTCTCTGGTGTTCATGTTTCAAGTCTTCGGTGTCGAGCTATGTCTTTCGTGCGCGACTCCGTCAAACTGATGCACGAAGACGGCGTGTCGTGGCTTTCAAACTCTCAGTGAGGAATTTCAACAGGTGGTGCGGAAGCATGCATGGAAACTTGACTGGAAACTGTCGTGGAAAAACGGCCGCGCACGGATGTGAAACGTGGGAGCTCAAAGACTCTAAAGTCGTAAGGCCAAAAGACAAAGTTTCCGCATAAGTTTCCGCAGAGCTGCAGCAAAGTTTCTGCACGGTCTCCCGAAACTCTGTGGAAACTCAGCGGCAACTTTGAGGCAACTCTGCGGACTTGCGCGCGTACTTTGTGGAAGCTATGCGGAAGGGCAGACCCTTCAGGCGTGGCGCTGCGCAGGACAGTTGCGCAACCGAGAGAAAGGCAACATTTGGCTCTGGCGAGGAAGGACGGAGGAGAATGGCTTTTGAACTCAGCGCAGTGCTGTCCCTCGGAGTTCTGTAAGCTAAGCGAGTGCCTAATGCGCAGTTCTTTGTCTCAATCTTGTATACACTCCTAGATCTCTGTCTCTAGCTGGATCCACTTCTCAGGGAGGTTTTCGAAATTCTCTTTTGAGACTCTTTGCATACCATCTTGCGTCTTCAAGATGAAGACCCATGGGGGTTCCTGCAATTCTACGACATCTCGATCAATTGGAGCCCTATGAGATGGCAAGTCTGTCGGAAATCATATCGCTGCCCAGAGACCCGCAAACCCACGAATTCCTGTGTGATTGCTTGACGCCTGTCATGGCGATGCCCCGTCTCTTGAATCCGAAGGCCCCAGCCCCCCCTCTGCCCGCTCGTCGCCCTTACGGTGACTTGCTGGAAATCCCGAGGCCCTTGCTTTATGGGGGCCCTGCTGCAAGCGAAGGCCTGATCTCGCCCGCCTCTTCCGGCTCGCGTCTAGGGCTTAAGGGCTTAAAACCTGAACCCAAGTTATGCTTTACTGGGCCTCAGAAGGCTTCAAGTTGCCACGAGTCCCAGTAGGCGTGGTCGATGTTGAGCGGCTGAATGGCTTGGCCCGAAACCCACAGCTCTCAAGACCATTAAGAAGGTTTTGCATCCCGTCCCTGCAATGTTGCTCCCCAAGACTAGATGTGAACGTGCGGGATGGAGGGACGGGGCTTCAAGGATCTTTTGAAGTGGGGTTCCAAGCACGTAAACACAACTTTGACACCCTAGTGCCGCGAGCTCAAGGCTAATTTTTGGAAGAGGCTAATTATGTCACAACAGACTAGATGAGGTGATCGTCTCGTTCCCTGTAGCACGTGTCTTGCAAAGCCGTATGATCATAGACGAGGTATAATTTTCAGGCGGATTGCGTCTCCATGTTCTTGGGGCTGTTAACCTTTCACTTTCAACATCAACATCTTTCAACCCTGAACCGTTATGTTTCAATCCTGGTTTCGCACGACCCCGAAACAAACAAGCCCGAAGTCCCTGAGGATTCGGATAAGATGTGTTATTGCACATTCGCCGAAGATATCCGACCTTGAATGAGTCCGCCCGCGACTTTCTGCAAGCGTTGCAGCACGTAGGCTGGATTCCTGCCCCCTGTCCTTTTCCTCGCCTCCCTGTCCTACCATGGCATTCACTCACGGCGCTCTTTCCGAGGAGGAGGAGGAGGTCCATGTCGATGTAAGGTTTGGGCACTTCAGGCTTACGGATGTTTCAGGGCTGGGGTCATAAAGCCGGAAAGGTAACAACCCGCGGCCCCCCCAAAAAAAACGGGCCCTTCTTGGCTTTCCGAGATGGATTTTTTTGAGGTCTGGTCTGGCATAAGCTCAACGGGCCTCGTGCTGGTAGAGCTGGTGTGCATTCCGAGCCGACAGTTTCGGCCCAGCCTCTGCATTTTGCAGACGGAGCCGATGTCACCGTCGGTCTGTGGTTTGCTACATTCTTCCTGTTCTTTCGCTTTGCGCCGATCTGCAGATGTCAGGGGGGCTTTGGTTCCTCAATTGGGATTTGGGCGGGTTGTGTCAGCTTAGACAACAGTTGTAGACGGAGCTGTGTTTCTGAGGATACGATCCTGCAAAGCTGTGCGTCTTAGACCCTGGGCACAACAAAGCCCTCCACATTGCCAAACATGATAAGTGAAAAGGCTGCAAAACATACGAGGCCACATCAGCCTTGAAACTAGACTCGCAGGTGGTCCTCATGGAGAAGCCCCGTGCTCCCAAGGGACGTTGGTACATGGCAGGCGCCAGTTCATCCGAAAGCTTCAGCATGCAATTGCTAGTGGCCAAAATCAGATCTTGCTGTTTAAGGAGAGAGTCCCCGACGCAGAGTTTCGGAAGGGACAGAGTACGATCTGCCATTCCAGGGGTCGAAACTAAGTGTTCATGATATACGACGATTTGCTGTATAGTCTTTACTACGTTTATGAGCGTCGTATTCGCGCCGAAACCAGCATCAAAAAGGCTTGATTTCGGAATTGTTAGCCCTAGAGCCGACAGCTGCAGCCAGCAGGTGCTGCCGTGGCGACACTGGCTCTGGTGGGCGTTGTGGCGAAGGCTTGCCAGCTGGAGCCCGCTTTTCGGTTTGAGGGCCCACGAGCCCGGAACTGGCGCGGGGCAGGTCTCGAGGTTCGGGGGCAAAGATGCAGAGTTCAAGGGTTTCAGTGTGCAACGGAGGGGCGACTCAGACGGTGGGTAAGAGGTATTACGGTATTATCATTTTGAAAGTTAGCTGTTTTGGGCTTGCAGGTTGGGCGGTGATGATACCAGAGATCAGGAACTTGGGATGCTGTAGGAAGCTAGGGGGTCTTCATGTTCCAGAGTTTGTGTGCAACATTTGCACGAGAATCCGTGCACTTCGTTCCGACCAACAACCGCGCACCCGACAATCTGCTTTTGATGTAGCATTGTAGAGTTCGCAAGGCAAGCTAGGGCAAACAGCGAAGCTGTGGCATGAAACCCATTTGGGATGACGACACGCTCTATGAGAATGAAAAATCCACCGGAATCAAAAATTAAGAGGCTGAGCGAACAAAATCGATGCCTACCGCTTCACTGGCTTTCGAGCTCACCAAATGAAATCTGCAAGGTCCCTTCACTGCTCCTCATGTCCATATGACTCTACCCCATGCCAGCAGAAACAGGCGTAACATACGCTGAGCGAATGTGCAGGAACGGCCCCCTAACTGGAGCTGAGGTCTAACCGAAGCAAATGTTTAGTTTATAGGGAGCTCTCCAGTGCGTGGCGAGGTGTCCCACTCCTCGCTCTCCAAGTCCAAGACGCTGGATGAGATCGAGAACTGGGAGGAGCTTCCAGGAATGGACCAGGCGCTGGGTGTCGTAGTGTCTCAGTTTCTCGTACTCAGTTCGTACTCCGAGCAATCTCGGTTCTGGGTAGAGCTCGCATTGCCAAGACGTTGAACGCGCAAGCACGAGCCAAGCAGCGTAAGTGTCGGAGCAGGTCATCCACAAGGCCCAGGCCCTGAAGATGGACAAGCCCTTGCGCAACCTGCAGGACCTGTGACTCGGCGGTGCACTTCCGAAGCCTCAAGGGAATTGAGGTTCAAGGCTCAAGGCTGTCAGCTGTCTGGGACACACACCGCAAGTCACTCAAAAGCACCTATGCCAGCTGGAACTCCACACCCTAAACAGCCTGAACATTCTGACGTCACGAAACCACAAAGTCACGAAGCACAGAGTGCGCCCGTCCCGAGGTTCTACGATTCCCAGCCGGAGGATACTTGGGTTTCAATTGGAGCTCTGGGGTTTCAGGGTCGGGAGGTTTGGGGAGTTGGGCTGCAAGGCGTTCAGGGTGGGATTTCTGGTCATGTGCTCCCCGAAAGGGATTCGCTCACCCCCGAACGTCTCGAACGCCGTGGGCCAGGCGGGTGGGCGGGTTTACAGAATCCTGTTGGGCTTGGTTTTTGTTTCCGCCTGTTTCGAGTCTTTTTTTTGTCTGGTGGTCGGGAACCCTTCGAAAAGGACTAAGAACGAATCTGAGACAAAATGTGAACCTGGAACCAGCTGAGCACAGGGAACGAACCGCCCGAAAGGCATTATGGAGAACTGAGAAACAGGAGGGAACCGCTCGAATGGGGCGAAAGAATGAACGCTTCGAAGGGGCCAGCCCTTCGAAAGGCACGAGATTTTCTGAAAACGACTGAAAGGAGCAAAGAAACTGAAGTGAAACGCTTGACATGTACTGTACGAGAGAATCCGAGGAGGAACGATTCGTTCGAAAGGGAATAATGGATGAATTTAAGAAAGCGGGGAGCGAACCGCACAAGATCAGCCAGAGCCGCCGGCAAAGCACACGAAGCAGCCGAAGAGGAAACAACAGAAACGTAGTCAGTGAGCGCCCCACTGCCACGGAGGAGGTTATCCGCATAGGTGAAGGTTTTCCCCCCAAGGCAACCGAGGAGGAGGTGGAGCTCTCCCGTCGAAGCAAATATCCATGCCCGATCACACACATCCTGGCAGATGGCGGTCAACTGCAAACATCCACCCCAACTCGACCTTGAGTACATTCTGTCCAGGAATCCCGCCCGGCTCCGATGGTTCGCCCCAACGTGGATCTAGCTGCAACCCGCATAGGTTCAAGCAGCTCTGCGTGCTTTTGCAGGCAAGCGCGAGTGTATCGTCGGAGTTGTCTATGGGTTCTTGTTTTGTCACCTACTTCTCTGAGCCCTGTCGAACGGTTTGCTCCTCTTTGTCAGCTTCTGCTTCCCTTTCGAGCGGTTCGCTTCTTCAAAGAGTCTCTCGCCCTTCTCGAGCAGTTCGCTCCCCTTTCTCAAATTCTTGGGTGTCTTTCGGCATACTGCAGAAGGATGTTTGGCTTTCTGGCAGAAGGCGCACTGTCATAAGCGGTGCTGCCTGGCCTGGTGCGAGCATCCCCAACTGCTGTGCCTTTTGCACAACCTAGTGCGCAACGATATGGTGACGGCGAATATGATGATGATCCCATGCTGTCATCAGTATCTCCCAGACTATCATCAATATATCATCTCATAGAAGCGATAATTTTTGAGGCCTTCGAAGCCACCTATATTCGTAAGTCCTGCGCCTGCCACGAAAAACGCAATTTAAACAGCCAAAATCAGGTTGATGTGGAGGACATGCTTGCGCCGAACATGGCGTTCCAAGACACGTCCTGGCTGCTGCCGCCGTAAAAATCCGCATTTGTAAGAGAACGTAACAGCAAAAACTCGATGTTTTTGGCGGTTTCATAACAAAAAACTAACAAGAGGATGCCCAAATCGTCCTGTGTTCGCATGCAAATCAAACATTCAAACTTGTTAACACAGTCCTGCACAGCTCCAGAATGTGCTTCAAACCCAAGCGAAAACACAGTTTAAGCATAACCGCCCGTTGCATGTTGCAATGAAGCACATCACGGGAACGAGCAGTTCCGCGAGCAAGCTTACAGACAGCGGGTTCTGCCGTTGTTAAACTGGGGCTGTTGGTGGCAAGGCCACCCCGAGGGGTTCTCTCAGGACTGGATCAGCCAAGCCAGGCGCAGTCTTTCGGCTCAACACGTTGCACACCGAGGTCTTTGGTGTCTTTTGCAGGGGCATTGGACAGACCCAGAAATCTGTCTGCTGCTCGATTCGCTTAGAGTTTGGACACGAGCTGCCCGGGAAGGAATGCGGCCTCATGCTTCCGTCCGGTCGGTGGTTCCGTTTCATTCACCAAGCCTGGACTACGGGTTCAGTTTCTCTGGGCAGGTGACCCAGCACCCTAGCGCCGCGTCTTTGCACCTAGGGGGAAACCGATGCGAAGCAGCTCGAGGCTGCACTGCATCAGGTGCGCGAGCCTAGGCGCCAACAGCAGTTCAGAGTTTTCTGGAGAACCCTCGCAGGGAGGCGGTCGACGCCGCTGCTGCAGGTGTGCAATACAGTGCCGCCGGACACACGCTGCACGTAAGCTCTTCGATGCCGCGTCTAGCGAGGAGAGAGGCATTATGCTTGGCGCTTCCTACTCTTGGGCTGCTTATGAAAAGCTTTTCGAAAACTTGCCCAAACAAGCTGAGAGGTTTTTATCTGGTTGTCTGGGGTTCAGCGTTGTCCGCAAGCCAAACAAAGTCTTTGCAAGCCGACAAAATCCGAACCGTTTGAAATGTCTTCCAGAATCTGAGAAGGAGGAGGGACCTAGAAAGGGACCCGAGAAAAAGGAGCGAACCGTTTGAAAGGGATTCGAGAATCTGAGACAGAGGAGCGATCCGCTATATTTTATAGAAGATCGGAGAAAAAGGAGACAACTGTTCCAATAGACCAAACAAATTGAAAACGAGGAGCCCAGTCCTTTTGCCCGGTGGGTGTGGGTGGTTTTCGCTTCACTTCCATCTCTTTTTTTTGTGTGTGTGTGTGTGTGTGTGTGTTGTGTGTGCGTGTGTGGTGTTCATGTGTGCGTGTGTGGTGTGTGTGCGTGTGTGCGTGTGTGCGTGTGTGTGCGTGTGTGCGTGTGTGGGTGTGTGGGTGTGTGGGTGTGTTGGGTTGATTCGGATTGGGGTTTGTCATCTTCGTGTGTAAATGTGAATGGTGGATCGCGCCCAAAAGCCACCCATGTTTGCGAGTGTGTGACGCTCGGAATTTGTTGATCGTTTGTAAAAGGCAAAAATTTTCACATGTTCAAGGGTGAAGGCGAGTGTGTTGAGGGTTTGAAGAGAAGAGGTTGAGGAAAGGTCCCCACCATACATCACAATGAAATTACGTAACAACGTCAGCGGCGTCAGTGTCAACATGAGGAGTAGCAGCGGAGGCAGCAACAGCGAAAGCGATAACGAGAAGGATTTGAGACATAACCCACGGAAGTCTGTATTCCGGGACTTGCATGTTGAGGAACTCCCGTGGATCCGTACAGAGTGCGTGATCGACACCGTCCAGGCATTCAGTTCTCAAGCCTTGCTAATTTCTATCAGATCATCAGATGAGCTTTCCGAGCTTGTGGAAACTGAAAATTGGGGTCCTTCGGACGAATGGGCCAGCCCAGCGCAGGGCGCAAAGGCTTGAGGACATTTGGGAAGCACAGGCCTCTGGAGCTAGAGACCTTTGGGCTGGGAGTAAGTGCAGTTTGTGCACATTTTGGGTTCAAGCCCTGACCACGACTCTGTGCAGGCTGCCGCCTACCTTGCCCAAGCCGTCGTGTTCCTGTACAAGGCGGGAGACAGTGTCTTCAGGAATCATCGTGGGCTGGAGTGGGGCCAAAGCTCGTGTAAGGGCTGGACTTATGTGCCTCCTAGATTTCCTAGATGTTGAGACGCAAAACTCGAGACAGGAGAGAACACGCAGGACCCCGAAAGAGACTGAATAGATGCTTTGGCAAGGAGGGTTAATGAAAAACAGCTTTTGAGGCCATCGATTACGACGGCCTGGAGTGCCCCAACAACTCCCCGGTGGGCTGCGCTGCCAGTGTGGCCGGTTGCTTGTCAGCTTCGATCTTCCTCCACAAAAGAGGCGTAAAGAGTTTTGGAGTGTGGGATCTTGTCACTGTTCTCGATCTCTGCAGTCTAGTTGATTTCGCAACAAGGTTTCCAATGTGAATATGGAGGGAAGTTGAAGCCCAAAGTTGTAGCCGATAGTGTCCGAGGCTTCATCACCTCCATCACCTGGATTGCCTCCTACCTGTGCCTTGGCCTCCTATGCGAAGTTTGGGGTGTCAGACCGTTAGAGCAAAGCTTCGGAAATGTGGAGCTTCACACCCGGATTGTTTTTAATTCGAAGCGAGGTCCTGACCAGGCTTTCCGGGTCTAGTTTGCAAAATATTTTGAAAGGGAAAACGAGGCATACAGGCATACACGTGGATGTAGACTAACGGCTTCTGTAGACCATGCTTGCACGAAGTTCAGCGGAAGAGCAGCCGGTCGCAGAGATCTCCCCATGGAATCTATCGATGGATGGCACGGTAGCATAAAACCGCTGTCGTAGGATCTTTGTTGCAGAGTGCGGTCCGCCCAGTTGCGGGACTGTCCCCTTCGTGAAAAACTCTTCAAGGGCACGCTTGATTGAGAGCAGTGGGATCCATGAAAGGTGATGAAGTTACTTAAGGAAATCTGCAGGTCTTTCGCGGCGAACGCCTGCGGCCAGGCCGTGAACAACGGAGCGCTCTGTGCAGGCGGGGAACCCCAAGCCTCCAGCCCCAGCATGTCCAGCAGCATCTGCCATCCCTGGCCTCAATCCTGGAAGACAGTTGCAACCGGAGGGCCCCAAGCCCAGCGAGCCGCACATCACCACAGATTCATCTTTCTGAGTCGCCCCAAGAGGTGACTTCACCGCCTTGATGGCCAACTTTGGTGAGATTGCCACCGTGGGCGCCGCCGCCAGAGCTGATTGCAACTTCGGCACCTTGGATCTGTTGCTTCGCATTTCGGGAAGTGGGGTCTTTCCGATTTGCGTCGAAGGGGCGAAGCTCGGGTTACGAAGCAATTATGTGGAAGGTGCGTCCTCTCCGACTGCAATGTATGTTCAAGTGGTGTCGGGAACTCTTCGGCGGAGGTTTGGGCCCTCTGCACTGTGCAACAACTTCGGTGGTTAACACACCAAGTAATACTTTAATTAGCTAGGGGACGGCAACGGGTGCATGGGTCATCCCAGGCAAGAACGCCCTCCAGATCCTCACGAGGACGGAGACCATCTCCCCTCCGCATCTCGGTCGAGAATCTGCAGTAAAACCTCGATTCCCCCTTAGTATACAACACAGCGACTCCTAAACCTTCAAGACCACCCAAGACTTCTCATCACGAAGCAAGGTGGAAGGAGTTCGTCCCTGCTGGGGCTTCGCCAGCTGTGGAGAAGGCCCTGAAGGTGAAGGGGCGCCTCGGACTAAAGTGTGGCGATGTGCGAGCCCTGGATCCCTCCCACGGCCCCTGGCCCTAGCAAGCAGAGGCACAAGGACCAGCAGCGCAACCGCGACTACGACATCGTCCAGTGCACGGCGGACATCACCAACTCTGTCTCCTACATCGTGCCCTGGAGTTTTGATCGGTTTTTGCAGTGGCTGCATAGCCAGGATGTCGCACAGGGCTTCGGGGTTAAGAGGGTTGCTGCTGGATCGGGGAGATAAGCGAAACGATGTCGACAGCAGAAGTTCCTCTCCCTTAACCCCCTCAACAAAGCCTGCCTCTCAAAACCCCAGACCCACACCTGGAACCCTAATACTCATTGGTTCGGATTCCCAAACTGGACACCTGCAAAGCGTAAACCGTGAAGCCCAACTCCCCGAATCATAGCAAGTTGGAGCCATCATCAAAAAATCAAAGGCCACTGCTTGCAATTATTGAGCTTCAATGAGAAACAACGGGTCTCCGCCCAAGCCACGAAGCCAGGTGCGAGCGATCCTTCAGATCCGCGCCGCGGGCAGCGCCTGCGCCGACCCGAAGTCATGCGCTGTCGGCATCATGCGACCGGGATTCGCTTAGCCTGTGTTGGAGGTTGGAGCGTGCGGCTTCAGTTCGGAGTCAATTGAGGGCCAATGCTGTGATCAGATGGACCCTTTTTCTGGGATTCAGGTTCTTTTGAGTTGAGTCCTTTGCACCCGGGAATGTCACGGCATTCTACACATTGGAACTCGCGGGTTTTCGGTCTTGGGTCTTGTATGCGTCCGTTGTCGCTTCAGGTGTCCGTATTGATGTGTTGTTGAGCTTTGGGGCTTGGGCACACACGGGCGTGTAGGTTTCGGAAGTTCAGGGAGCTTGTAGACACTTCAGCGGCGTTTGGGCCGCTGAAGTCCGGAATCGTGTGAGTCCACCGAGCGTCTGCAGCCTGCTTCGTGCGGTGTTCTCGTGCATTTGTGGGGTTTCCTCTCTTCAGTTCCGGCTGTGGCCCTTCGAGTGCCGGGGCCCAGTTTCGTGGAAGCTGACGGCTGCGATTTTGAGTTTGACCGCAATCTGGATAGTGGCGTGAAAAGCTCAGGAACATCATCTCCTCTTTCGCATGGATCTCTCAGTTCACGGCATTGGCGGTGTCGGACTGCCAGGTGCGCCTGGGATTCGGGTCTTCCCTATGGCCGAGCTGGGGTTGCTGTGCACTTTGCGTTGAGATGATCGGTCATCCAGCATGTCACCAGAACATCTCTTTCCATCTATCTGCCTGTCTTTGTCTCAAGGGTCATGCAATCACAAAGGCATGCACGCGCGAATACCTGCGGTCTAGACTATGGCCATCCATGGCCAGACTGCAGCTATCAAAGCCCGGAGCCGTGCATGCCGAATTCAGGTGGGGGCCGACCAGAAGGCCCTGTGCACCGCCGACATCTCCGACGCTGGGCTGTTTGTCTTGTTTGTTTGTTTGCTTGCTTGCTTGCTGGTTTGGTTGTTTGCTCGTTTATGTGTTTGTGTCTGTGCACGTGTCGCGTATCGCGAGCACGTCATAGTGTGTCTTATATATCTTGTTATAGCCACCAACCTTACGAGAAAATGCAGGCTGCCACCACGGAGTAGCCGCCATCGTCGTCATCATACTCGTCGAAGCAGCCGCAGATGGCCGTAGAAGTGGTGAATACCGCTCCAGCTTAGCTTGGGGAGGAGCAGGAAGCCTTTACACCAGATGCTCTGAGCCCGGGGTGGCCATATCCCACCATGCAACCACCGCAAGTATCGGGATCCCTTCAAGGGCATACCTTCCTCAGCTGGGCGTGAACCCATTTCAGCACAGCACCTAGCCACGCCAAAGGGCTCGACAAGAAGCCTCACAGTCCCTCCTTCCCAAATCCACGGCTCCTTCATCCCAGGACATGGTGGCCGCCCTGACCAACGGACCGGCCGCCGGCATCGCCTCCACCTCGGACTGCGCCGACCTCTAAGCGACTTGGCACCGGGTTGGTGCTGGTGCTGCGGGCTGCAGGTTGCTAGGATGCCTCGGCAAATACTCCGGTCTGTAGAACGGGTTTTGAGGCTGCTTGGAGGCTTCGGGTTCAACGGCCAAGAGCTCGGTGCCAGGAGAGGCGTGGGCAAGGGCCACTACGGCCGAGCGCGCTCTTTCCTGAGTTCAGGAAGTCGATGGGGATTCCCCGGCTGAGTTCGACATCAGAGGATCCTACTTCACGTCGTGCTTCTGACCTGTATCTTGATTAAACATATTAAACGCTCAAGCGTCAGCCGTCGGCTCCCGCTTTTAACTGGCACAGTAAGGTTGGAGACCATCCATCATTCCTTGTGGCGCGCCTCGCAAAAAGCGAGGGGTGCGTTTAACCTTCAGTTTCGAGTGGGGCACGTCCTTGGGGACTGCCTATCCATCGAATCGTGCCGGATGGAGGCTCTCTTCAGGACAATCCGTACGAGAGACCTCGCAGGCCGGTGCTGTTTTGCGTCCTGCACGGAGCGGTCGCTCCTGTCCGCGAAAAGTCGGGCGATCAGATCTGAATCGTGGGTGGGGTTTCGGGCTCTAAGTTACAAAACTGTCGTGGGATACATCGTGCCTTGAAAGAAACATCTGCTTCGCCCACCCGCCCATCCCGCCCATCTGCCGCAGGCGTTGCTGCCCGTAGACTGGATTTCGGCCCGTGTCCTTTCCTCGGTTTCCCACTTGGCCATGGCACTGACTCACGGCGCGCTCTCGGAGGAAGAGGCCCAACGGTTCATCGGTGGCATCCTTGTCTGAGGACCCCGAACCGCAGGTCCTAGGCAGCCCGATGCAGCATTCAAACCACAAGCGCCGACAGAGCTCCAGCAAAAAGCCAATCAGCCCAGCCACGACTCCACCCCTGCAGCAGGTGGTCCTCGTGGAGAAGCCCCGTGCACCCAAGGGACGTTGGTACATGGCAGGCGCCGACCCGCGTCCGACTCGTTCGACAAGAACTCACCCTTTCAGGGCGTTGAGGGCCCTGACTCCGCCTTGAAGCCGACGTGCCAAGGAAAGATGATTCGTCGATCTTCCTAAGCCGTGATTCGACAATCCTTTCTGGCACTGAAAAGTTGAAAGCCATCGCTTGGAAGGCGCCGCCGTTGCGACCTTGGCGCTTGTGGGCGTCGTGGCAAAGGCACCGGGTGATGTCGGGATTGGGCTCAGCCTTCATCACTTCGGATGTTTTGGGGGCATTGAGAAAAGAGTCTCGCCGCGAGTCCTCGGCATCTTACATTCTTCAAAAAGAAGCATTGAAGTTTGCTGAACAAGTTGCAACATGCGCTTCATGTTGTTTACGCCTTGCGGTCGGTTACTGCTTCAGTTTGCCGTGAACGGTGTTCGTCCACCTGACTAGTTGAAGCGTTTGCTTGTTTTACATTTTCACAACGACATGCGACGAGGTGTCCCACTCCTCGCTCTCCAAGTCCAAGACGCTGGATGAGATCGAGAACTGGGAGGAGCTTCCAGGAATGGACCAGGCGCTGGGTGTCGTAGTGTCTCAGTTTCTCGTACTCAGTTCGTACTCCGAGCAATCTCGGTTCTGGGTAGAGCTCGCATTGCCAAGACGTTGAACGTGCAAGCACGAGCCAAGCAGCGTAAGTGACGGAGCAGGTCATCCACAAGGCCCAGGCCCTGAAGATGGACAAGCCCTTGCGCAACCTGCAGGACCTGTGACTCGGCGGTGCACTTCCGAAGCCTCAAAGGGAATTGAGGTTCAAGGCTCAAGGCTGTCAGCTGTCTGGGACACACACCGCAAGTCACTCAAAAGCACCTATGCCAGCTGGAACTCCACACCCTAAACAGCCTGAACATTCTGACGTCACGAAACCACAAAGTCACGAAGCACAGAGTGCGCCCGTCCCGAGGTTCTACGATTCCCAGCCGGAGGATACTTGGGTTTCAATTGGAGCTCTGGGGTTTCAGGGTCAGGAGGTTTGGGGAGTTGGGCTGCAAGGCGTTCAGGGTGGGATTTCTGGTCATGTGCTCCTCGAAAGGGATTCCCTCGCCCCCGAACGTCTCGAATGCCGTGGGCCAGGCGGGTGGGCGGGTTTACAGAATCCTGTTGGGCTTGGTTTTTGTTTCCGCCTGGTGGTCGTTCAGGGTCTGCTTCCGACCTGGCCTGTCTGTTTTTCCCCGCTGGCTGTCGGGTTGGGTTTTTTTCCAACGTGCCCCGACTGCATGCCAAAAAGCCGTCGACTCCTCACCAGTGCTGTTGAGCGGCTTTGCCCTTGGGGCAGGCATCAAAAAACCCATGTTCGTCGCCTGGCCCTCCTGTCGGCCAACCGTGCCTTCGCCCTGCAAAACCCCTCCCCCTCTTTGGAAAGGTTTTGTCTCCCGACCCACCGGCCGGCGGAGGTCTTTATCCGGTTGCCTGAAACCGAGAAAGATGAGCGAACCGGTTGGAAGGGACGCGAGAGTCTGAGCCGGAGGAGCGAACCGTTCGGAACGGACTACGAGAATTTGAGAAAATGTCCGCGAGTGTGTGACGCTCGGAATTTGTTGATCGTTTGTAAAAGGCAAAATTGTTCACATGTTCAAGGGTGAAGGCGAGTGTGTTGAGGGTTTGAGGAGGAGAGGTTGAGGACAGGTCCCCACCATGACCGTAACATCACAATAAGATTACGTAACAACATCAGCGGCGTCAGTGTCAACATGAGGAGTAGCAGCGGAGGCTGCAACAGCGAAAGCGATAATGAGAAGGATTTGAGACATAACCCGCGGAAGTCTGTATTCCGGGACTTGCATGCTGAGGAACTCCCGTGGATCCGTACAGAGTGCGTGATCGACACCGTCCAGGCATTTAGTTCTCAAGCCTTGCTAATTTCTATCAGATCATCAGATGAGCTTTCCGAGCTTGTGGAAACTGAAAATTGGGGTCCTTCGGACGAATGGGCCAGCCCAGCGCAGGGCGCAAAGGTTTGAGGACATTTGGGAAGCACAGGCCTTTGGAGCTAGAGACCTTCTGGGCTGGGAGTCAGTGCAGTTTGTGCACCTTTTTGGTTCAAGCCTTGACCACGACTCTGTGCAGGCTGCAGCCTACCTTGCCCAAGCCGTTGTGTTCCTGTACAAGGCGGGAGACAGTGTCTTCAGGAATTATCGCGCCTAAGTGGGGCCAATGCTCCCGTAAGGGCTGGACTTATGTGCCGCCTAGATGTTGAAACGCCGAATTCGAGACAGGGTCGTCGGAGAGAACACGCAGGACCCCGAAAGAGACTGAATAGATGCTCTGGCTAGGAGGGTTAATGCAAACAAGCGTTTGAGGCCATCGATTACGACGGCCTGGAGTGCCCCAACAACTCCCCGGTGGGCTGCGCTGCCAGTGTGGCCGGTTGCTCGCCAGCTTTGATCTGCCTCCACATGGGATCTTGTCACTGTTCTCGATCTCTGCAGTCTAGTTGATTTCGTAACAGGGTTTCCAATGTGAATATGGAGGGAAGTTGAAGCCCAAAGTTGTAGCCGATAGTCTCCGAGGCTTCATCACCTCCATCACCTGGATTGCCTCCTACCTGTGCCTTGGCCTCCTATGCGAAGTTTGGGCTGTCAGACCGTTAGAGCAAGGCTTCGTAAATGTGGAGCTTCACACCCGGACTGTCTTTAATTCGAAGCGAGGTCCTGACCAGGTTTTCCGGGTCTAGTTTACAAGATATTTTGAAAGGGAAAGCGAGGCATACACGTGGATGTAGACTAACTGCTTCTGCAGACCATGTTGCACGAAGTTCAGCGGAAGAGCAGCCGGTCGCAGAGATCTCCCCATGGAATCTATCGAGTTCGGTCCTGGATGGCACGGTAGCACAAAACCGCTGTCACAGGATCGTTGTTGTAGAGTGGGGTCCCCCCCAATCGCAGGATTGTGCCTGATTGAGAGCAGTGGGATCCGTGAAAGGTGATGAAGGTTCTTGGGGAAATCTGCAGGTCCTTCGCGGCGAACGCCTGCGGCCAGGCCGTGAACAACGGAGCGCTCTGCGCAGGCGGGGAACCCCAAGCCTCCAGCCCCAGCATGTCCAGCATCTGCCATCCCTGGCCTCAATCCTGGAAGACAGTTGCAACCGGAGGGCCCCAAACCCAGCCATCACCACAGATTCCTCTTTCTGAGTCGCCCCAAGAGGTGACTTCACCGCCTTGATGGCCAACTTTGGTGAGATTGCCACCGTGGGCGCCGCCGCCAGAGCTGATTGCAACTTCGGCACCTTGGATCTGTTGCTTCGCATTTCGGGAAGTGGGGTCTTTCCGATTTGCGTCGAAGGGGCGAGGCTCGGGTTACGAAGCAGATATGTGGAAGGTGCGTCCTCTCCTGCTGCAATGTATGTAAAACTTCGGCGGAGGTTTGGACCCTCTGCACTGTGCAACAAGTTCGGTGGTTAACACACCAAGTACTACTTTAATTACCTAGGGCCCGGCAATGGGTGCATGGGTCATCCCAGGCAAGAACGCCCTCCAGATCCTCACGAGGACGGAGACCATCTCCCCTCCGCATCTCGGTCGAGAATCTGCAGCAAAACCTCGATTCCCCCTTAGTATACAACACAGCGACTCCTAGACCTTCAAGACCACCCAAGACCGAGATGCACCGCGAGACTTCTCATCACGAAGCAAGGTGGAAGGAGTTCGTCCCTGCTGGCGCATCGCCAGCTGTGGAGAAGGCCCTGAAGGTGAAGGGGCGCCTCGGACTAAAGTGTGGCGATGTGTGGCGAGGCGCAAGGTTCAAGGTGTTGGGCTGTGGCTGCAGCCTTCGATCTCTCGAGATGCTCTTTCGCGACCAGCCCTGGATCCCTTCCGCGGCCCCTGGCCCTAGCAAGCAGAGGCACAAAGACCAGCAGCGCAACCGCGACTACGACATCGTCCAGTGCACAGCGGACATCACCAACTCTGTCTCCTACATCGTGCCCTGGAGTTTTGATCGGTTTTTGCAGTGGCTGCGTAGCCAGGATGTCTTGCGATCCCCATCCCCTAACCCCTGCACTCCCGCAACAAAGCCTCGAAATTCAAGGCCAGAATTCCCAAACTGGACATCTGCAAGGCCAACTCCCGAATCATAGCAAGTTGGAGCCCTCATCAAATCAAAGGTCAATGCTTTTGCCATTATTGAGCTTCAATGAGAAATACCTAGTCTGCGGCTGGATACATCCCGGTCCTGTGTGCAACGGATCTCCGCCCAAGCCACGAAGCCAGGTGCGAGCGATCCTTCAGATCCGCGCCGCGGGCAGCGCCTGCGCCGACCCGAAGTCATGCGCTGTCGGCATCATGCGACCGGGATTCGCTTAGCCTGTGTTGGAGGTTGGAGCGTGCGGCTTCAGTTCGGAGTCAATTAAGGGCCAATGCTGTGATCAGATGGACCCTTTTTCTGTGATTCAGGTTCTTTTGAGTTGAGTCCTTTGCACCCGGGAATGTCACGGCATTCTACACATTGGAACTCGCGGGTGTTCGTTCTTGGGTCTTGTATGCGTCCGTTGTCGCTTCAGGTTGCCGTATTGATGTGTTGTTGAGCTTTGGGGCTTGGGCACACACGGGCGTGTAGGTTTCGGAAGTTCAGGGAGCTTGTAGACACTTCAGCGGCGTTTGGGCCGCTGAAGTCCGGAATCGTGTGAGTCCACCGAGCGTCTGCAGCCTGCTTTGTGCGGTGTTCTCGTGCGTTTGTGGGGTTTCCTCTCTTCAGTTCCGGCTGTGGCCCTTCGAGTGCCGGGGCCCAGTTTCGTGGAAGCTGACGGCTGCGATTTTGAGTTCAACCGCAATCTGGATAGTGGCGTGAAAAGCTCAGGAACATCATCTCCTCTTTCGCATGGATCTCTCAGTTCACGGCATTGGCGGTGTCGGACTGCCAGGTGCGCCTGGGATTCGGGCCTTCCCTATGGCCGAGCTGGGGTTGCTGTGCACTTTGCTTTGAGACGATCGGTCATCCAGCATGTCAACAGAACATCTCTTTCCATCTATCTGCCTGTCTTTGTCTCAAGGGTCATGCAATCATACAGGTACGCACGCACGAATGCCTGCAGTCTAGACTATGGCCATCCATGGCCGGACTCATCACAGCCCGGAGCCGTGCATGCCGAATTCAGGTGGGGGCCGACCAGAAGGCCCTGTGCACCGCCGACATCTCCGACGCTGGGCTTGCTTGTTTCGTTTGTTTCGTTTGTTTGTTTGCTTGCTGGTTTGTTTGTTTGTTTGTTTGCTTGCTCGTTTGTTTGTTTGTGTTTGTGCACGTGTCGCGTATCGCGAGCACGTCATAGTGTGTCTTATATATCTTGTTATAGCCACCAACCTTACAAGAAAATACAGGCTGCCACCACGGAGTAGCCGCCATCGTCGTCATCATACTCGTCGAAGCAGTTGTAGATCGCCGTAGAAGCAGTGAATACCGCTCCAGCTTAGCTTGGGGAGGAGCAGGAAGCCTTTCACACCAGATGCTCTGAGCCCGGGGTGGCCATATCCCACGATGCAACCACCGCAAGCATCGGGATCCCTTGAAGGGCATACCTTCCTCAGCTGGGCGTGAACCCGTTTCAGCACAGCACCTAGCCACGCCAAAGGGCTCGACAAGAAGCCTCACAGTCCCTCCTTCCCAAATCCACGGCTCCTTCATCCCAGGACATGGTGGCCGCCCTGACCAACGGACCGGCCGCCGGCATCGCCTCCACCTCGGACTGCGCCGACCTCTAAGCGACTTGGCGCCGCGTTAGTGCTGGTGCTGCGGGCTGCAGGTTACTAGGATGCCTCGGCAAAGACTCCGGTCTGTAGAACGGGTTTGGAGGCTGCTTGGAGGCTTCGGGTTCAACGGCCAAGAGCTCGGTGCCAGGAGAGGCGTGGGCAAGGGCCACTACGGCCGAGCGTGCGCTTTCCTCAGTTCAGGGAGTCGATGGGGATTCCCCGGCTGAGTTCGACATCAGAGGATCCTACTTCACGTCGTGCTTCTGACCTTTATCTTGATTAAACATATATTAAGCGCTCAGGCATCAGCCGTGGGTTCCCGCTTTTCCATCCATCATTCCTTGTGGCGCGCCTCGCAAAAAGCGAGGGGTGCGTTTAACCTTCAGTTTCGAGTGGGGCACGTCCTTGGGGACTGCCTATCCATCGAATCGTGCCGGATGGAGGCTCTCTTCAGGACAATCCGTACGAGAGACCTCGCAGCCCGGTGCTGTTTTGCGTCCTGCACGGAGCGGTCGCTCCTGTCCGCGAAAAGTCGGGCGATCAGATCTGAATCGTGGGTGGGGTTTCGGGCTCTAAGTTACAAAACTGTTTTGGGATACATCGTGCCTTGAAAGAAACATCTGCTTCGCCCACCCGCCCATCTGCCGCAGGCGTTGCTGCTCGTAGACTGGATTTCGGCCCGTGTCCTTTCCTCGGTTTCCCACTTGGCCATGGCACTGACTCACGGCGCGCTCTCGGAGGAAGAGGCCCAAGCCACAAACTCGTCGGTTCAGGCAGCATCTTTGTCTGAGGAGACCCCGATCAGCAGGTCCTAAACGGTTGGCTTCGGACTGTAGAAGCATTGAAACCGCAAGACTCCACCCCTGCAGCAGGTGGTCCTCATGGAGAAGCCCCGTGCACCTAAGGGACGTTGGTACATGGCAGGCACCGACCCTCGGCAAGACCCGCGGCCGACTCGTTCGATAAGAACTCACCCTTTGAGTGCGTCGAGGGCCTTGACTCCGCCTTGAAGCCGACGTGCCGAGAAGGAAAGATGATTCGTCGATCTTCCTAAGCCGTGATTCGCGAATCCTTTCTGGCACTGAAAAGTTGAAAGCCATCGCTTGGAAGGCGCCGCTGTTGCGACCTTGGCGCTTGTGGGCGTCGTGGCAAAGGCACCGTGTGATGTCGGGATTGGGCTCAGCCTTCATCACTCCGAATGTTTTGGATTGCAAGATCTTCGGGGCATTGAGAAAAGAGTCTCGCCGCGAGTCCTCGGCATCTTACATTCTTCAAAAAGAAGCATTGAAGTTTGTTGAACAAGTTGCAGCATGCACTTCATCTTGTTTATGCCTTGCGGTCGGTTGCTGCTTCAATTTGCCGTGAACGGTGTTCGTCCACCTGACTAGTTGAAGCGTTTGCTTGTTTTACATTTTCACAACGACATGCGACGAGGTGTCCCACTCCTCGCTCTCCAAGTCCAAGACGCTGGATGAGATCGAGAACTGGGAGGAGCTTCCAGGAATGGACCAGGCTCTGGGTGTCGTATTGTCTCAGTTTCTCGTACTCAGTTCGTGCTCCGAGCAATCTCGGTTCTGGGTAGAGCTCGCATTGCCAAGACGTTGAACGTGCAAGCACGAGCCAAGCAGCGTAAGTGACGGAGCAGGTCATCCACAAGGCCCAGGCCCTGAAGATGGACAAGCCCTTGCGCAACCTGCAGGACCTGTGACTCGGCGGTGCACTTCCGAAGCCTCAAAGGGAATTGAGGTTCAAGGCTCAAGGCTGTCAGCTGTCTGGGACACACCGCAAGTCACTCAAAAGCACCTATGCCAGCTGGAACTCCACACCCTAAACAGCCTGACTATTCTGACGTCACGAAGCCACGAAGCACAGAGCGCGCCCGTCCGAGGTTCTACGATTCCCAGCCGGAGGATACTTGGGTTTTTATTGGAGCTCTCGGGTTTCGGGGTGCGGGAGGTTTGGGGAGTTGGGCTGCAGGGCGTTCAGGGTGGGATTTCTGGTCATGTGCTCCCCGAAAGGGATTCCCGAACGCCCGAACGCCGTGGGCCAGGCGGGTGGGCGGGTTTACAGAATCCTGTTGGGCGTGGTTTTTGTTTCCGCCTGGTGGTCGTTTAGGGTCTGCTTCCGACCTGCCCTGTCTGTTTTTCCCCGCTGGCTGTCGGGTTGGGTCTTTTTCTAACTTGCCCCGCCTGCATGCCAAAAAGCGTCGACTCCTCACCAGTGCTGTCGAGCGGCTTTGCCCTTGCGGCAGGCATCAAAGTACCCATGTTCGTCGCCTGGCCCTCCTGTCGGCCAACCCCGCCTCCGCCCTGCAAAACCCCTCCCCCTTTTTGGAAAGGTTTTGTCTCCCGACACCCCGGCCGGCGGAGGTCTTTAGCCGGTTGCCTGAAACCGAGAAAGACGAGCGAACCGCTTGAAAGGGACGCGAGAGTCTGAGCCGGAGGAGCGAACTGTTCGGAACGGACTTCGAGAATCTGAGAAAAAACTCCAAACGGTCGGAAGGGACCAGAGGACTCGAGAATCTCAGACAGAGGAGCGATCGGAGCGGACTATATTTTGATAGAGAATCGGAGAAACAGGAGAGAACCGTTCCAATAGACGAAACAAATTGAAAACGAGGAGCCCAATCCTTTTGCCCGGTGGGTGTGGGTGGTTTTCGCTTCACTTCCACTTTTTTTTTTTGTGTGTGTGTGTGTGTGTGGGTGTGTTGGGTTGATTCGGATTGGGGTTTGTCATCTTCGTGTGTAAAAGGGAATGGTGGATCGCGCCCAAAAGCCACCCATGTCTGCGAGTGTGTGACGCTCGGAATTTGTTGATCATTTGTAAAAATTTCAGAATTTTCGCATGTTCTAAGGTGAAGGCGAGTGTGTTGAGGGTTTGAGGAGAAGAGGTTGAGGAAAGGTCCCCGCCATGACCATGACATCAACAAAAATCACAACATCAGCGGCGTCAGTGTCAACATGAGGAGTAGCAGCGGAGGCAGCAACAGCGAAAGCGATAATGAGAAGGATTTGAGACATAACCCGCGGAAGTCTGTATTCCGGGACTTGCATGCTGAGGAACTCCCGTGGATCCGTACAGAGTGCGTGATCGACACCGTCCAGGCATTTAGTTCTCAAGCCTTGCTACTTTCTATCAGACCATCAGATGAGTTTTCCGAGCTTGTGGAAATTGAAAATTGGGGTCCTTCGGACGAGTGGGCCAGCCCAGCGCTGGGCTTTTGAGGACATTTGGGAAGTACAGGCCATTGGAGCTAGATACTAGAGACCTTTGGGCCGTGAGTAAGTGCAGTTTGTGCACATTTTGGGTTCAAGCCCTGACCACGACTCTGTGCAGGCTGCAGCCTACCTTGCCCAAGCCGTCGTCTTCCTGTACAAGGCGGGAGACAGTGTCTTCAGGAATTATCGTGCCTGAGTGGGGCCAATGCTCCCGTAAGGGCCGGACTTATGTGCCTCCTAGATGTTGAGACGCCGAATTCGGGACAGGGTCGTTGGAGAGAACACGCAGGACCCCGAAAGAGACTGAATAGATGAACTGGCTAGGAGGGTTAATGCAAAAAAGCGTTTGAGGCCATCGATTACGACGGCCTGGAGTGCCCCAACAACTCCCCGGTGGGCTGCGCTGCCAGTGTGGCCGGTTGCTCGCCAGCTTTGATCTGCCTCCACAGAAGAAGTGTGAAGAGTTTTGGAATGTGGCATTTTGTCACTGTTCTCGATCTCTGCAGTCTAGTTGATTTCGCAACAGAATATGGAGGGAAGTTGAAGCCCAAAGTTGTAGCCGATAGTTCCCGAGGCTTCATCACCTCCATCACCTGGATTGCCTCCTACCTGTGCCTTGGCTTCCTATGCGAAGTTTGGGGTGTCAGACCGTTAGAGCAAAGCTTCGGAAATGTGGAGCTTCACACCCGGATTGTTTTTAATTCGAAGCGAGGTCCTGACCAGGTTTTGCAGGTCTAGTTTACAAGGTATTTTGAAAGGGAAAACGAGGCATACACGTGGATGTAGACTAGCGGCTTCTGCAGACCATGTTTGCACAAAGTTCAGCGGAAGAGCAGCCGGTCGCACAGATCTCCCCGTGGAATCTATCGAGTTCGGTCCTGGATGGCACGGTAGCACAAAACCGCTGTCACAGGATCGTTGTTGTAGAGTGGGGTCCCCCCAATTGCAGGATTGTGCCTGATTGAGAGCAGTGGGATCCGTGAAAGGTGATGAAGGTTCTTCAGGAAATCTGCAGGTCCTTCGCGGCGAACGCCTGCGGCCAGGCCGTGAACAACGGAGCGCTCTGTGCAGGCGGGGAACCCCAACCTCCAGCCCCAGCATGTCCAGCATCTGCCATCCCTGGCCTCAATCCTGGAAGACAGTTGCAACCGGAGGGCCCCAAACCCAGCCATCACCACAGATTCCTCTTTCTGAGTCGCCCTAAGAGGTGACTTCACCGCCTTGATGGCCAACTTTGGTGAGATTGCCACCGTGGGAGCCGCCGCCAGAGCTGATTGCAACTTCGGCACCTTGGATCTGTTGCTTCGCATTTCGGGAAGTGGGGTCTTTCCGATTTGCGTCGAAGGGGCGAAGCTCGGGTTACGAAGCAGATATGTGGAAGGTGCGTCCTCTCCTGCTGCAATGTATGTTCAACTGGTGTCGGGGAAACTTCGGCGGAGGTTTGGACCCTCTGCACTGTGCAACAAGTTCGTCCAAGTACTACTTTAATTACCTAGGGCCTAGGGCCCGGCAACGGGTGCATGGGTCATCCCAGGCAAGAACGCCCTCCAGATCCTCACGAGGACGGAGACCATCTCCCCTCCGCATCTCGGTCGAGAATCTGCAGCAAAACCTCGATTCCCCCTTAGTATACAACACAGCGACTCCTAGACCTTCAAGACCACCCAAGACCGAGATGCACCGCGAGACTTCTCATCACGAAGCAAGGTGGAAGGAGTTCGTCCCTGCTGGCGCATCGCCAGCTGTGGAGAAGGCCCTGAAGGTGAAGGGGCGCCTCGGACTAAAGTGTGGCGATGTGTGGCGAGGCGCAAGGTTCAAGGTGTTGGGCTGTGGCTGCAGCCTTCGATCTCTCGAGATGCTCTTTCGCGACCAGCCCTGGATCCCTTCCGCGGCCCCTGGCCCTAGCAAGCAGAGGCACAAAGACCAGCAGCGCAACCGCGACTACGACATCGTCCAGTGCACAGCGGACATCACCAACTCTGTCTCCTACATCGTGCCCTGGAGTTTTGATCGGTTTTTGCAGTGGCTGCGTAGCCAGGATGTCTTGCGATCCCCATCCCCTAACCCCTGCACTCCCGCAACAAAGCCTCGAAATTCAAGGCCAGAATTCCCAAACTGGACATCTGCAAGGCCAACTCCCGAATCATAGCAAGTTGGAGCCCTCATCAAATCAAAGGTCAATGCTTTTGCCATTATTGAGCTTCAATGAGAAATACCTAGTCTGCGGCTGGATACATCCCGGTCCTGTGTGCAACGGATCTCCGCCCAAGCCACGAAGCCAGGTGCGAGCGATCCTTCAGATCCGCGCCGCGGGCAGCGCCTGCGCCGACCCGAAGTCATGCGCTGTCGGCATCATGCGACCGGGATTCGCTTAGCCTGTGTTGGAGGTTGGAGCGTGCGGCTTCAGTTCGGAGTCAATTAAGGGCCAATGCTGTGATCAGATGGACCCTTTTTCTGTGATTCAGGTTCTTTTGAGTTGAGTCCTTTGCACCCGGGAATGTCACGGCATTCTACACATTGGAACTCGCGGGTGTTCGTTCTTGGGTCTTGTATGCGTCCGTTGTCGCTTCAGGTTGCCGTATTGATGTGTTGTTGAGCTTTGGGGCTTGGGCACACACGGGCGTGTAGGTTTCGGAAGTTCAGGGAGCTTGTAGACACTTCAGCGGCGTTTGGGCCGCTGAAGTCCGGAATCGTGTGAGTCCACCGAGCGTCTGCAGCCTGCTTCGTGCGGTGTTCTCGTGCATTTGTGGGGTTTCCTCTCTTCAGTTCCGGCTGTGGCCCTTCGAGTGCCGGGGCCCAGTTTCGTGGAAGCTGACGGCTGCGATTTTGAGTTCAACCGCAATCTGGATAGTGGCGTGAAAAGCTCAGGAACATCATCTCCTCTTTCGCATGGATCTCTCAGTTCACGGCATTGGCGGTGTCGGACTGCCAGGTGCGCCTGGGATTCGGGCCTTCCCTATGGCCGAGCTGGGGTTGCTGTGCACTTTGCTTTGAGACGATCGGTCATCCAGCATGTCAACAGAACATCTCTTTCCATCTATCTGCCTGTCTTTGTCTCAAGGGTCATGCAATCATACAGGTACGCACGCACGAATGCCTGCAGTCTAGACTATGGCCATCCATGGCCGGACTCATCACAGCCCGGAGCCGTGCATGCCGAATTCAGGTGGGGGCCGACCAGAAGGCCCTGTGCACCGCCGACATCTCCGACGCTGGGCTTGCTTGTTTCGTTTGTTTCGTTTGTTTGTTTGCTTGCTGGTTTGTTTGTTTGTTTGTTTGCTTGCTCGTTTGTTTGTTTGTGTTTGTGCACGTGTCGCGTATCGCGAGCACGTCATAGTGTGTCTTATATATCTTGTTATAGCCACCAACCTTACAAGAAAATACAGGCTGCCACCACGGAGTAGCCGCCATCGTCGTCATCATACTCGTCGAAGCAGTTGTAGATCGCCGTAGAAGCAGTGAATACCGCTCCAGCTTAGCTTGGGGAGGAGCAGGAAGCCTTTCACACCAGATGCTCTGAGCCCGGGGTGGCCATATCCCACGATGCAACCACCGCAAGCATCGGGATCCCTTGAAGGGCATACCTTCCTCAGCTGGGCGTGAACCCGTTTCAGCACAGCACCTAGCCACGCCAAAGGGCTCGACAAGAAGCCTCACAGTCCCTCCTTCCCAAATCCACGGCTCCTTCATCCCAGGACATGGTGGCCGCCCTGACCAACGGACCGGCCGCCGGCATCGCCTCCACCTCGGACTGCGCCGACCTCTAAGCGACTTGGCGCCGCGTTAGTGCTGGTGCTGCGGGCTGCAGGTTACTAGGATGCCTCGGCAAAGACTCCGGTCTGTAGAACGGGTTTGGAGGCTGCTTGGAGGCTTCGGGTTCAACGGCCAAGAGCTCGGTGCCAGGAGAGGCGTGGGCAAGGGCCACTACGGCCGAGCGTGCGCTTTCCTCAGTTCAGAGAGTCGATGGGGATTCCCCGGCTGAGTTCGACATCAGAGGATCCTACTTCACGTCGTGCTTCTGACCTTTATCTTGATTAAACATATATTAAGCGCTCAGGCATCAGCCGTGGGTTCCCGCTTTTCCATCCATCATTCCTTGTGGCGCGCCTCGCAAAAAGCGAGGGGTGCGTTTAACCTTCAGTTTCGAGTGGGGCACGTCCTTGGGGACTGCCTATCCATCGAATCGTGCCGGATGGAGGCTCTCTTCAGGACAATCCGTACGAGAGACCTCGCAGCCCGGTGCTGTTTTGCGTCCTGCACGGAGCGGTCGCTCCTGTCCGCGAAAAGTCGGGCGATCAGATCTGAATCGTGGGTGGGGTTTCGGGCTCTAAGTTACAAAACTGTCGTGGGATACATCGTGCCTTGAAAGAAACATCTGCTTCGCCCACCCGCCCATCTGCCGCAGGCGTTGCTGCTCGTAGACTGGATTTCGGCCCGTGTCCTTTCCTCGGTTTCCCACTTGGCCATGGCACTGACTCACGGCGCGCTCTCGGAGGAAGAGGCCCAAGCCACAAACTCGTCGGTTCAGGCAGCATCTTTGTCTGAGGAGACCCCGATCAGCAGGTCCTAAACGGTTGGCTTCGGACTGTAGAAGCATTGAAACCGCAAGACTCCACCCCTGCAGCAGGTGGTCCTCATGGAGAAGCCCCGTGCACCTAAGGGACGTTGGTACATGGCAGGCACCGACCCTCGGCAAGACCCGCGGCCGACTCGTTCGATAAGAACTCACCCTTTGAGTGCGTCGAGGGCCTTGACTCCGCCTTGAAGCCGACGTGCCGAGAAGGAAAGATGATTCGTCGATCTTCCTAAGCCGTGATTCGCGAATCCTTTCTGGCACTGAAAAGTTGAAAGCCATCGCTTGGAAGGCGCCGCTGTTGCGACCTTGGCGCTTGTGGGCGTCGTGGCAAAGGCACCGTGTGATGTCGGGATTGGGCTCAGCCTTCATCACTCCGAATGTTTTGGATTGCAAGATCTTCGGGGCATTGAGAAAAGAGTCTCGCCGCGAGTCCTCGGCATCTTACATTCTTCAAAAAGAAGCATTGAAGTTTGTTGAACAAGTTGCAGCATGCACTTCATCTTGTTTATGCCTTGCGGTCGGTTGCTGCTTCAATTTGCCGTGAACGGTGTTCGTCCACCTGACTAGTTGAAGCGTTTGCTTGTTTTACATTTTCACAACGACATGCGACGAGGTGTCCCACTCCTCGCTCTCCAAGTCCAAGACGCTGGATGAGATCGAGAACTGGGAGGAGCTTCCAGGAATGGACCAGGCTCTGGGTGTCGTATTGTCTCAGTTTCTCGTACTCAGTTCGTGCTCCGAGCAATCTCGGTTCTGGGTAGAGCTCGCATTGCCAAGACGTTGAACGTGCAAGCACGAGCCAAGCAGCGTAAGTGACGGAGCAGGTCATCCACAAGGCCCAGGCCCTGAAGATGGACAAGCCCTTGCGCAACCTGCAGGACCTGTGACTCGGCGGTGCACTTCCGAAGCCTCAAAGGGAATTGAGGTTCAAGGCTCAAGGCTGTCAGCTGTCTGGGACACACCGCAAGTCACTCAAAAGCACCTATGCCAGCTGGAACTCCACACCCTAAACAGCCTGACTATTCTGACGTCACGAAGCCACGAAGCACAGAGCGCGCCCGTCCGAGGTTCTACGATTCCCAGCCGGAGGATACTTGGGTTTTTATTGGAGCTCTCGGGTTTCGGGGTGCGGGAGGTTTGGGGAGTTGGGCTGCAGGGCGTTCAGGGTGGGATTTCTGGTCATGTGCTCCCCGAAAGGGATTCCCGAACGCCCGAACGCCGTGGGCCAGGCGGGTGGGCGGGTTTACAGAATCCTGTTGGGCGTGGTTTTTGTTTCCGCCTGGTGGTCGTTTAGGGTCTGCTTCCGACCTGCCCTGTCTGTTTTTCCCCGCTGGCTGTCGGGTTGGGTCTTTTTCTAACTTGCCCCGCCTGCATGCCAAAAAGCGTCGACTCCTCACCAGTGCTGTCGAGCGGCTTTGCCCTTGCGGCAGGCATCAAAGTACCCATGTTCGTCGCCTGGCCCTCCTGTCGGCCAACCCCGCCTCCGCCCTGCAAAACCCCTCCCCCTTTTTGGAAAGGTTTTGTCTCCCGACACCCCGGCCGGCGGAGGTCTTTAGCCGGTTGCCTGAAACCGAGAAAGACGAGCGAACCGCTTGAAAGGGACGCGAGAGTCTGAGCCGGAGGAGCGAACTGTTCGGAACGGACTTCGAGAATCTGAGAAAAAACTCCAAACGGTCGGAAGGGACCAGAGGACTCGAGAATCTCAGACAGAGGAGCGATCGGAGCGGACTATATTTTGATAGAGAATCGGAGAAACAGGAGAGAACCGTTCCAATAGACGAAACAAATTGAAAACGAGGAGCCCAATCCTTTTGCCCGGTGGGTGTGGGTGGTTTTCGCTTCACTTCCACTTTTTTTTTTTGTGTGTGTGTGTGTGTGTGGGTGTGTTGGGTTGATTCGGATTGGGGTTTGTCATCTTCGTGTGTAAAAGGGAATGGTGGATCGCGCCCAAAAGCCACCCATGTCTGCGAGTGTGTGACGCTCGGAATTTGTTGATCATTTGTAAAAATTTCAGAATTTTCGCATGTTCTAAGGTGAAGGCGAGTGTGTTGAGGGTTTGAGGAGAAGAGGTTGAGGAAAGGTCCCCGCCATGACCATGACATCAACAAAAATCACAACATCAGCGGCGTCAGTGTCAACATGAGGAGTAGCAGCGGAGGCAGCAACAGCGAAAGCGATAATGAGAAGGATTTGAGACATAACCCGCGGAAGTCTGTATTCCGGGACTTGCATGCTGAGGAACTCCCGTGGATCCGTACAGAGTGCGTGATCGACACCGTCCAGGCATTTAGTTCTCAAGCCTTGCTACTTTCTATCAGACCATCAGATGAGTTTTCCGAGCTTGTGGAAATTGAAAATTGGGGTCCTTCGGACGAGTGGGCCAGCCCAGCGCTGGGCTTTTGAGGACATTTGGGAAGTACAGGCCATTGGAGCTAGATACTAGAGACCTTTGGGCTGTGAGTAAGTGCAGTTTGTGCACATTTTGGGTTCAAGCCCTGACCACGACTCTGTGCAGGCTGCAGCCTACCTTGCCCAAGCCGTCGTCTTCCTGTACAAGGCGGGAGACAGTGTCTTCAGGAATTATCGTGCCTGAGTGGGGCCAATGCTCCCGTAAGGGCCGGACTTATGTGCCTCCTAGATGTTGAGACGCCGAATTCGGGACAGGGTCGTTGGAGAGAACACGCAGGACCCCGAAAGAGACTGAATAGATGAACTGGCTAGGAGGGTTAATGCAAAAAAGCGTTTGAGGCCATCGATTACGACGGCCTGGAGTGCCCCAACAACTCCCCGGTGGGCTGCGCTGCCAGTGTGGCCGGTTGCTCGCCAGCTTTGATCTGCCTCCACAGAAGAAGTGTGAAGAGTTTTGGAATGTGGCATTTTGTCACTGTTCTCGATCTCTGCAGTCTAGTTGATTTCGCAACAGAATATGGAGGGAAGTTGAAGCCCAAAGTTGTAGCCGATAGTTCCCGAGGCTTCATCACCTCCATCACCTGGATTGCCTCCTACCTGTGCCTTGGCTTCCTATGCGAAGTTTGGGGTGTCAGACCGTTAGAGCAAAGCTTCGGAAATGTGGAGCTTCACACCCGGATTGTTTTTAATTCGAAGCGAGGTCCTGACCAGGTTTTGCAGGTCTAGTTTACAAGGTATTTTGAAAGGGAAAACGAGGCATACACGTGGATGTAGACTAGCGGCTTCTGCAGACCATGTTTGCACAAAGTTCAGCGGAAGAGCAGCCGGTCGCACAGATCTCCCCATGGAATCTATCGAGTTCGGTCCTGGATGGCACGGTAGCACAAAACCGCTGTCACAGGATCGTTGTTGTAGAGTGGGGTCCCCCCAATTGCAGGATTGTGCCTGATTGAGAGCAGTGGGATCCGTGAAAGGTGATGAAGGTTCTTCAGGAAATCTGCAGGTCCTTCGCGGCGAACGCCTGCGGCCAGGCCGTGAACAACGGAGCGCTCTGTGCAGGCGGGGAACCCCAACCTCCAGCCCCAGCATGTCCAGCATCTGCCATCCCTGGCCTCAATCCTGGAAGACAGTTGCAACCGGAGGGCCCCAAACCCAGCCATCACCACAGATTCCTCTTTCTGAGTCGCCCTAAGAGGTGACTTCACCGCCTTGATGGCCAACTTTGGTGAGATTGCCACCGTGGGAGCCGCCGCCAGAGCTGATTGCAACTTCGGCACCTTGGATCTGTTGCTTCGCATTTCGGGAAGTGGGGTCTTTCCGATTTGCGTCGAAGGGGCGAAGCTCGGGTTACGAAGCAGATATGTGGAAGGTGCGTCCTCTCCTGCTGCAATGTATGTTCAACTGGTGTCGGGGAAACTTCGGCGGAGGTTTGGACCCTCTGCACTGTGCAACAAGTTCGTCCAAGTACTACTTTAATTACCTAGGGCCTAGGGCCCGGCAACGGGTGCATGGGTCATCCCAGGCAAGAACGCCCTCCAGATCCTCACGAGGACGGAGACCATCTCCCCTCCGCATCTCGGTCGAGAATCTGCAGCAAAACCTCGATTCCCCCTTAGTATACAACACAGCGACTCCTAGACCTTCAAGACCACCCAAGACCGAGATGCACCGCGAGACTTCTCATCACGAAGCAAGGTGGAAGGAGTTCGTCCCTGCTGGCGCATCGCCAGCTGTGGAGAAGGCCCTGAAGGTGAAGGGGCGCCTCGGACTAAAGTGTGGCGATGTGTGGCGAGGCGCAAGGTTCAAGGTGTTGGGCTGTGGCTGCAGCCTTCGATCTCTCGAGATGCTCTTTCGCGACCAGCCCTGGATCCCTTCCGCGGCCCCTGGCCCTAGCAAGCAGAGGCACAAAGACCAGCAGCGCAACCGCGACTACGACATCGTCCAGTGCACAGCGGACATCACCAACTCTGTCTCCTACATCGTGCCCTGGAGTTTTGATCGGTTTTTGCAGTGGCTGCGTAGCCAGGATGTCTTGCGATCCCCATCCCCTAACCCCTGCACTCCCGCAACAAAGCCTCGAAATTCAAGGCCAGAATTCCCAAACTGGACATCTGCAAGGCCAACTCCCGAATCATAGCAAGTTGGAGCCCTCATCAAATCAAAGGTCAATGCTTTTGCCATTATTGAGCTTCAATGAGAAATACCTAGTCTGCGGCTGGATACATCCCGGTCCTGTGTGCAACGGATCTCCGCCCAAGCCACGAAGCCAGGTGCGAGCGATCCTTCAGATCCGCGCCGCGGGCAGCGCCTGCGCCGACCCGAAGTCATGCGCTGTCGGCATCATGCGACCGGGATTCGCTTAGCCTGTGTTGGAGGTTGGAGCGTGCGGCTTCAGTTCGGAGTCAATTAAGGGCCAATGCTGTGATCAGATGGACCCTTTTTCTGTGATTCAGGTTCTTTTGAGTTGAGTCCTTTGCGCCCGGGAATGTCACGGCATTCTACACATTGGAACTCGCGGGTGTTCGTTCTTGGGTCTTGTATGCGTCCGTTGTCGCTTCAGGTTGCCGTATTGATGTGTTGTTGAGCTTTGGGGCTTGGGCACACACGGGCGTGTAGGTTTCGGAAGTTCAGGGAGCTTGTAGACACTTCAGCGGCGTTTGGGCCGCTGAAGTCCGGAATCGTGTGAGTCCACCGAGCGTCTGCAGCCTGCTTTGTGCGGTGTTCTCGTGCGTTTGTGGGGTTTCCTCTCTTCAGTTCCGGCTGTGGCCCTTCGAGTGCCGGGGCCCAGTTTCGTGGAAGCTGACGGCTGCGATTTTGAGTTCAACCGCAATCTGGATAGTGGCGTGAAAAGCTCAGGAACATCATCTCCTCTTTCGCATGGATCTCTCAGTTCACGGCATTGGCGGTGTCGGACTGCCAGGTGCGCCTGGGATTCGGGTCTTCCCTATGGCCGAGCTGGGGTTGCTGTGCACTTTGCGTTGAGATGATCGGTCATCCAGCATGTCACCAGAACATCTCTTTCCATCTATCTGCCTGTCTTTGTCTCAAGGGTCATGCAATCACAAAGGCATGTCTAGACTATGGCCATCCATGGCCAGACTGCAGCTATCAAAGCCCGGAGCCGTGCATGCCGAATTCAGGTGGGGGCCGACCAGAAGGCCCTGTGCACCGCCGACATCTCCGACGCTGGGCTGTTTGTCTTGTTTGTTTGTTTGCTTGCTTGCTTGCTGGTTTGGTTGTTTGCTCGTTTATGTGTTTGTGTCTGTGCACGTGTCGCGTATCGCGAGCACGTCATAGTGTGTCTTATATATCTTGTTATAGCCACCAACCTTACGAGAAAATGCAGGCTGCCACCACGGAGTAGCCGCCATCGTCGTCATCATACTCGTCGAAGCAGCCGCAGATGGCCGTAGAAGTGGTGAATACCGCTCCAGCTTAGCTTGGGGAGGAGCAGGAAGCCTTTACACCAGATGCTCTGAGCCCGGGGTGGCCATATCCCACCATGCAACCACCGCAAGTATCGGGATCCCTTCAAGGGCATACCTTCCTCAGCTGGGCGTGAACCCATTTCAGCACAGCACCTAGCCACGCCAAAGGGCTCGACAAGAAGCCTCACAGTCCCTCCTTCCCAAATCCACGGCTCCTTCATCCCAGGACATGGTGGCCGCCCTGACCAACGGACCGGCCGCCGGCATCGCCTCCACCTCGGACTGCGCCGACCTCTAAGCGACTTGGCACCGGGTTGGTGCTGGTGCTGCGGGCTGCAGGTTGCTAGGATGCCTCGGCAAATACTCCGGTCTGTAGAACGGGTTTTGAGGCTGCTTGGAGGCTTCGGGTTCAACGGCCAAGAGCTCGGTGCCAGGAGAGGCGTGGGCAAGGGCCACTACGGCCGAGCGCGCTCTTTCCTGAGTTCAGGAAGTCGATGGGGATTCCCCGGCTGAGTTCGACATCAGAGGATCCTACTTCACGTCGTGCTTCTGACCTGTATCTTGATTAAACATATTAAACGCTCAAGCGTCAGCCGTCGGCTCCCGCTTTTAACTGGCACAGTAAGGTTGGAGACCATCCATCATTCCTTGTGGCGCGCCTCGCAAAAAGCGAGGGGTGCGTTTAACCTTCAGTTTCGAGTGGGGCACGTCCTTGGGGACTGCCTATCCATCGAATCGTGCCGGATGGAGGCTCTCTTCAGGACAATCCGTACGAGAGACCTCGCAGCCCGGTGCTGTTTTGCGTCCTGCACGGAGCGGTCGCTCCTGTCCGCGAAAAGTCGGGCGATCAGATCTGAATCGTGGGTGGGGTTTCGGGCTCTAAGTTACAAAACTGTCGTGGGATACATCGTGCCTTGAAAGAAACATCTGCTTCGCCCACCCGCCCATCCCGCCCATCTGCCGCAGGCGTTGCTGCCCGTAGACTGGATTTCGGCCCGTGTCCTTTCCTCGGTTTCCCACTTGGCCATGGCACTGACTCACGGCGCGCTCTCGGAGGAAGAGGCCCAACGGTTCATCGGTGGCATCCTTGTCTGAGGACCCCGAACCGCAGGTCCTAGGCAGCCCGATGCAGCATTCAAACCACAAGCGCCGACAGAGCTCCAGCAAAAAGCCAATCAGCCCAGCCACGACTCCACCCCTGCAGCAGGTGGTCCTCGTGGAGAAGCCCCGTGCACCCAAGGGACGTTGGTACATGGCAGGCGCCGACCCGCGTCCGACTCGTTCGACAAGAACTCACCCTTTCAGGGCGTTGAGGGCCCTGACTCCGCCTTGAAGCCGACGTGCCAAGGAAAGATGATTCGTCGATCTTCCTAAGCCGTGATTCGACAATCCTTTCTGGCACTGAAAAGTTGAAAGCCATCGCTTGGAAGGCGCCGCCGTTGCGACCTTGGCGCTTGTGGGCGTCGTGGCAAAGGCACCGGGTGATGTCGGGATTGGGCTCAGCCTTCATCACTTCGGATGTTTTGGGGGCATTGAGAAAAGAGTCTCGCCGCGAGTCCTCGGCATCTTACATTCTGCAAAAAGAAGCATTGAAGTTTGCTGAACAAGTTGCAACATGCGCTTCATCTTGTTTACGCCTTGCGGTCGGTTACTGCTTCAGTTTGCCGTGAACGGTGTTCGTCCACCTGACTAGTTGAAGCGTTTGCTTGTTTTACATTTTCACAACGACATGCGACGAGGTGTCCCACTCCTCGCTCTCCAAGTCCAAGACGCTGGATGAGATCGAGAACTGGGAGGAGCTTCCAGGAATGGACCAGGCGCTGGGTGTCGTAGTGTCTCAGTTTCTCGTACTCAGTTCGTACTCCGAGCAATCTCGGTTCTGGGTAGAGCTCGCATTGCCAAGACGTTGAACGTGCAAGCACGAGCCAAGCAGCGTAAGTGACGGAGCAGGTCATCCACAAGGCCCAGGCCCTGAAGATGGACAAGCCCTTGCGCAACCTGCAGGACCTGTGACTCGGCGGTGCACTTCCGAAGCCTCAAAGGGAATTGAGGTTCAAGGCTCAAGGCTGTCAGCTGTCTGGGACACACACCGCAAGTCACTCAAAAGCACCTATGCCAGCTGGAACTCCACACCCTAAACAGCCTGAACATTCTGACGTCACGAAACCACAAAGTCACGAAGCACAGAGTGCGCCCGTCCCGAGGTTCTACGATTCCCAGCCGGAGGATACTTGGGTTTCAATTGGAGCTCTGGGGTTTCAGGGTCAGGAGGTTTGGGGAGTTGGGCTGCAAGGCGTTCAGGGTGGGATTTCTGGTCATGTGCTCCTCGAAAGGGATTCCCTCGCCCCCGAACGTCTCGAATGCCGTGGGCCAGGCGGGTGGGCGGGTTTACAGAATCCTGTTGGGCTTGGTTTTTGTTTCCGCCTGGTGGTCGTTCAGGGTCTGCTTCCGACCTGGCCTGTCTGTTTTTCCCCGCTGGCTGTCGGGTTGGGTTTTTTTCCAACGTGCCCCGACTGCGTGCCAAAAAGCCGTCGACTCCTCACCAGTGCTGTTGAGCGGCTTTGCCCTTGGGGCAGGCATCAAAAAACCCATGTTCGTCGCCTGGCCCTCCTGTCGGCCAACCGTGCCTTCGCCCTGCAAAACCCCTCCCCCTCTTTGGAAAGGTTTTGTCTCCCGACCCACCGGCCGGCGGAGGTCTTTATCCGGTTGCCTGAAACCGAGAAAGATGAGCGAACCGGTTGGAAGGGACGCGAGAGTCTGAGCCGGAGGAGCGAACCGTTCGGAACGGACTACGAGAATTTGAGAAAATGTCTGCGAGTGTGTGACGCTCGGAATTTGTTGATCGTTTGTAAAAGGCAAAATTGTTCACATGTTCAAGGGTGAAGGCGAGTGTGTTGAGGGTTTGAGGAGGAGAGGTTGAGGACAGGTCCCCACCATGACCGTAACATCACAATAAGATTACGTAACAACATCAGCGGCGTCAGTGTCAACATGAGGAGTAGCAGCGGAGGCTGCAACAGCGAAAGCGATAATGAGAAGGATTTGAGACATAACCCGCGGAAGTCTGTATTCCGGGACTTGCATGCTGAGGAACTCCCGTGGATCCGTACAGAGTGCGTGATCGACACCGTCCAGGCATTTAGTTCTCAAGCCTTGCTAATTTCTATCAGATCATCAGATGAGCTTTCCGAGCTTGTGGAAACTGAAAATTGGGGTCCTTCGGACGAATGGGCCAGCCCAGCGCAGGGCGCAAAGGTTTGAGGACATTTGGGAAGCACAGGCCTTTGGAGCTAGAGACCTTCTGGGCTGGGAGTCAGTGCAGTTTGTGCACCTTTTTGGTTCAAGCCTTGACCACGACTCTGTGCAGGCTGCAGCCTACCTTGCCCAAGCCGTTGTGTTCCTGTACAAGGCGGGAGACAGTGTCTTCAGGAATTATCGCGCCTAAGTGGGGCCAATGCTCCCGTAAGGGCTGGACTTATGTGCCGCCTAGATGTTGAAACGCCGAATTCGAGACAGGGTCGTCGGAGAGAACACGCAGGACCCCGAAAGAGACTGAATAGATGCTCTGGCTAGGAGGGTTAATGCAAACAAGCGTTTGAGGCCATCGATTACGACGGCCTGGAGTGCCCCAACAACTCCCCGGTGGGCTGCGCTGCCAGTGTGGCCGGTTGCTCGCCAGCTTTGATCTGCCTCCACATGGGATCTTGTCACTGTTCTCGATCTCTGCAGTCTAGTTGATTTCGTAACAGGGTTTCCAATGTGAATATGGAGGGAAGTTGAAGCCCAAAGTTGTAGCCGATAGTCTCCGAGGCTTCATCACCTCCATCACCTGGATTGCCTCCTACCTGTGCCTTGGCCTCCTATGCGAAGTTTGGGCTGTCAGACCGTTAGAGCAAGGCTTCGTAAATGTGGAGCTTCACACCCGGACTGTCTTTAATTCGAAGCGAGGTCCTGACCAGGTTTTCCGGGTCTAGTTTACAAGATATTTTGAAAGGGAAAGCGAGGCATACACGTGGATGTAGACTAACTGCTTCTGCAGACCATGTTGCACGAAGTTCAGCGGAAGAGCAGCCGGTCGCAGAGATCTCCCCATGGAATCTATCGAGTTCGGTCCTGGATGGCACGGTAGCACAAAACCGCTGTCACAGGATCGTTGTTGTAGAGTGGGGTCCCCCCCAATCGCAGGATTGTGCCTGATTGAGAGCAGTGGGATCCGTGAAAGGTGATGAAGGTTCTTGGGGAAATCTGCAGGTCCTTCGCGGCGAACGCCTGCGGCCAGGCCGTGAACAACGGAGCGCTCTGCGCAGGCGGGGAACCCCAAGCCTCCAGCCCCAGCATGTCCAGCATCTGCCATCCCTGGCCTCAATCCTGGAAGACAGTTGCAACCGGAGGGCCCCAAACCCAGCCATCACCACAGATTCCTCTTTCTGAGTCGCCCCAAGAGGTGACTTCACCGCCTTGATGGCCAACTTTGGTGAGATTGCCACCGTGGGCGCCGCCGCCAGAGCTGATTGCAACTTCGGCACCTTGGATCTGTTGCTTCGCATTTCGGGAAGTGGGGTCTTTCCGATTTGCGTCGAAGGGGCGAGGCTCGGGTTACGAAGCAGATATGTGGAAGGTGCGTCCTCTCCTGCTGCAATGTATGTAAAACTTCGGCGGAGGTTTGGACCCTCTGCACTGTGCAACAAGTTCGGTGGTTAACACACCAAGTACTACTTTAATTACCTAGGGCCCGGCAATGGGTGCATGGGTCATCCCAGGCAAGAACGCCCTCCAGATCCTCACGAGGACGGAGACCATCTCCCCTCCGCATCTCGGTCGAGAATCTGCAGCAAAACCTCGATTCCCCCTTAGTATACAACACAGCGACTCCTAGACCTTCAAGACCACCCAAGACCGAGATGCACCGCGAGACTTCTCATCACGAAGCAAGGTGGAAGGAGTTCGTCCCTGCTGGCGCATCGCCAGCTGTGGAGAAGGCCCTGAAGGTGAAGGGGCGCCTCGGACTAAAGTGTGGCGATGTGTGGCGAGGCGCAAGGTTCAAGGTGTTGGGCTGTGGCTGCAGCCTTCGATCTCTCGAGATGCTCTTTCGCGACCAGCCCTGGATCCCTTCCGCGGCCCCTGGCCCTAGCAAGCAGAGGCACAAAGACCAGCAGCGCAACCGCGACTACGACATCGTCCAGTGCACAGCGGACATCACCAACTCTGTCTCCTACATCGTGCCCTGGAGTTTTGATCGGTTTTTGCAGTGGCTGCGTAGCCAGGATGTCTTGCGATCCCCATCCCCTAACCCCTGCACTCCCGCAACAAAGCCTCGAAATTCAAGGCCAGAATTCCCAAACTGGACATCTGCAAGGCCAACTCCCGAATCATAGCAAGTTGGAGCCCTCATCAAATCAAAGGTCAATGCTTTTGCCATTATTGAGCTTCAATGAGAAATACCTAGTCTGCGGCTGGATACATCCCGGTCCTGTGTGCAACGGATCTCCGCCCAAGCCACGAAGCCAGGTGCGAGCGATCCTTCAGATCCGCGCCGCGGGCAGCGCCTGCGCCGACCCGAAGTCATGCGCTGTCGGCATCATGCGACCGGGATTCGCTTAGCCTGTGTTGGAGGTTGGAGCGTGCGGCTTCAGTTCGGAGTCAATTAAGGGCCAATGCTGTGATCAGATGGACCCTTTTTCTGTGATTCAGGTTCTTTTGAGTTGAGTCCTTTGCACCCGGGAATGTCACGGCATTCTACACATTGGAACTCGCGGGTGTTCGTTCTTGGGTCTTGTATGCGTCCGTTGTCGCTTCAGGTTGCCGTATTGATGTGTTGTTGAGCTTTGGGGCTTGGGCACACACGGGCGTGTAGGTTTCGGAAGTTCAGGGAGCTTGTAGACACTTCAGCGGCGTTTGGGCCGCTGAAGTCCGGAATCGTGTGAGTCCACCGAGCGTCTGCAGCCTGCTTTGTGCGGTGTTCTCGTGCGTTTGTGGGGTTTCCTCTCTTCAGTTCCGGCTGTGGCCCTTCGAGTGCCGGGGCCCAGTTTCGTGGAAGCTGACGGCTGCGATTTTGAGTTCAACCGCAATCTGGATAGTGGCGTGAAAAGCTCAGGAACATCATCTCCTCTTTCGCATGGATCTCTCAGTTCACGGCATTGGCGGTGTCGGACTGCCAGGTGCGCCTGGGATTCGGGCCTTCCCTATGGCCGAGCTGGGGTTGCTGTGCACTTTGCTTTGAGACGATCGGTCATCCAGCATGTCAACAGAACATCTCTTTCCATCTATCTGCCTGTCTTTGTCTCAAGGGTCATGCAATCATACAGGTACGCACGCACGAATGCCTGCAGTCTAGACTATGGCCATCCATGGCCGGACTCATCACAGCCCGGAGCCGTGCATGCCGAATTCAGGTGGGGGCCGACCAGAAGGCCCTGTGCACCGCCGACATCTCCGACGCTGGGCTTGCTTGTTTCGTTTGTTTCGTTTGTTTGTTTGCTTGCTGGTTTGTTTGTTTGTTTGTTTGCTTGCTCGTTTGTTTGTTTGTGTTTGTGCACGTGTCGCGTATCGCGAGCACGTCATAGTGTGTCTTATATATCTTGTTATAGCCACCAACCTTACAAGAAAATACAGGCTGCCACCACGGAGTAGCCGCCATCGTCGTCATCATACTCGTCGAAGCAGTTGTAGATCGCCGTAGAAGCAGTGAATACCGCTCCAGCTTAGCTTGGGGAGGAGCAGGAAGCCTTTCACACCAGATGCTCTGAGCCCGGGGTGGCCATATCCCACGATGCAACCACCGCAAGCATCGGGATCCCTTGAAGGGCATACCTTCCTCAGCTGGGCGTGAACCCGTTTCAGCACAGCACCTAGCCACGCCAAAGGGCTCGACAAGAAGCCTCACAGTCCCTCCTTCCCAAATCCACGGCTCCTTCATCCCAGGACATGGTGGCCGCCCTGACCAACGGACCGGCCGCCGGCATCGCCTCCACCTCGGACTGCGCCGACCTCTAAGCGACTTGGCGCCGCGTTAGTGCTGGTGCTGCGGGCTGCAGGTTACTAGGATGCCTCGGCAAAGACTCCGGTCTGTAGAACGGGTTTGGAGGCTGCTTGGAGGCTTCGGGTTCAACGGCCAAGAGCTCGGTGCCAGGAGAGGCGTGGGCAAGGGCCACTACGGCCGAGCGTGCGCTTTCCTCAGTTCAGGGAGTCGATGGGGATTCCCCGGCTGAGTTCGACATCAGAGGATCCTACTTCACGTCGTGCTTCTGACCTTTATCTTGATTAAACATATATTAAGCGCTCAGGCATCAGCCGTGGGTTCCCGCTTTTCCATCCATCATTCCTTGTGGCGCGCCTCGCAAAAAGCGAGGGGTGCGTTTAACCTTCAGTTTCGAGTGGGGCACGTCCTTGGGGACTGCCTATCCATCGAATCGTGCCGGATGGAGGCTCTCTTCAGGACAATCCGTACGAGAGACCTCGCAGCCCGGTGCTGTTTTGCGTCCTGCACGGAGCGGTCGCTCCTGTCCGCGAAAAGTCGGGCGATCAGATCTGAATCGTGGGTGGGGTTTCGGGCTCTAAGTTACAAAACTGTCGTGGGATACATCGTGCCTTGAAAGAAACATCTGCTTCGCCCACCCGCCCATCTGCCGCAGGCGTTGCTGCTCGTAGACTGGATTTCGGCCCGTGTCCTTTCCTCGGTTTCCCACTTGGCCATGGCACTGACTCACGGCGCGCTCTCGGAGGAAGAGGCCCAAGCCACAAACTCGTCGGTTCAGGCAGCATCTTTGTCTGAGGAGACCCCGATCAGCAGGTCCTAAACGGTTGGCTTCGGACTGTAGAAGCATTGAAACCGCAAGACTCCACCCCTGCAGCAGGTGGTCCTCATGGAGAAGCCCCGTGCACCTAAGGGACGTTGGTACATGGCAGGCACCGACCCTCGGCAAGACCCGCGGCCGACTCGTTCGATAAGAACTCACCCTTTGAGTGCGTCGAGGGCCTTGACTCCGCCTTGAAGCCGACGTGCCGAGAAGGAAAGATGATTCGTCGATCTTCCTAAGCCGTGATTCGCGAATCCTTTCTGGCACTGAAAAGTTGAAAGCCATCGCTTGGAAGGCGCCGCTGTTGCGACCTTGGCGCTTGTGGGCGTCGTGGCAAAGGCACCGTGTGATGTCGGGATTGGGCTCAGCCTTCATCACTCCGAATGTTTTGGATTGCAAGATCTTCGGGGCATTGAGAAAAGAGTCTCGCCGCGAGTCCTCGGCATCTTACATTCTTCAAAAAGAAGCATTGAAGTTTGTTGAACAAGTTGCAGCATGCACTTCATCTTGTTTATGCCTTGCGGTCGGTTGCTGCTTCAATTTGCCGTGAACGGTGTTCGTCCACCTGACTAGTTGAAGCGTTTGCTTGTTTTACATTTTCACAACGACATGCGACGAGGTGTCCCACTCCTCGCTCTCCAAGTCCAAGACGCTGGATGAGATCGAGAACTGGGAGGAGCTTCCAGGAATGGACCAGGCTCTGGGTGTCGTATTGTCTCAGTTTCTCGTACTCAGTTCGTGCTCCGAGCAATCTCGGTTCTGGGTAGAGCTCGCATTGCCAAGACGTTGAACGTGCAAGCACGAGCCAAGCAGCGTAAGTGACGGAGCAGGTCATCCACAAGGCCCAGGCCCTGAAGATGGACAAGCCCTTGCGCAACCTGCAGGACCTGTGACTCGGCGGTGCACTTCCGAAGCCTCAAAGGGAATTGAGGTTCAAGGCTCAAGGCTGTCAGCTGTCTGGGACACACCGCAAGTCACTCAAAAGCACCTATGCCAGCTGGAACTCCACACCCTAAACAGCCTGACTATTCTGACGTCACGAAGCCACGAAGCACAGAGCGCGCCCGTCCGAGGTTCTACGATTCCCAGCCGGAGGATACTTGGGTTTTTATTGGAGCTCTCGGGTTTCGGGGTGCGGGAGGTTTGGGGAGTTGGGCTGCAGGGCGTTCAGGGTGGGATTTCTGGTCATGTGCTCCCCGAAAGGGATTCCCGAACGCCCGAACGCCGTGGGCCAGGCGGGTGGGCGGGTTTACAGAATCCTGTTGGGCGTGGTTTTTGTTTCCGCCTGGTGGTCGTTTAGGGTCTGCTTCCGACCTGCCCTGTCTGTTTTTCCCCGCTGGCTGTCGGGTTGGGTCTTTTTCTAACTTGCCCCGCCTGCATGCCAAAAAGCGTCGACTCCTCACCAGTGCTGTCGAGCGGCTTTGCCCTTGCGGCAGGCATCAAAGTACCCATGTTCGTCGCCTGGCCCTCCTGTCGGCCAACCCCGCCTCCGCCCTGCAAAACCCCTCCCCCTTTTTGGAAAGGTTTTGTCTCCCGACACCCCGGCCGGCGGAGGTCTTTAGCCGGTTGCCTGAAACCGAGAAAGACGAGCGAACCGCTTGAAAGGGACGCGAGAGTCTGAGCCGGAGGAGCGAACTGTTCGGAACGGACTTCGAGAATCTGAGAAAAAACTCCAAACGGTCGGAAGGGACCAGAGGACTCGAGAATCTCAGACAGAGGAGCGATCGGAGCGGACTATATTTTGATAGAGAATCGGAGAAACAGGAGAGAACCGTTCCAATAGACGAAACAAATTGAAAACGAGGAGCCCAATCCTTTTGCCCGGTGGGTGTGGGTGGTTTTCGCTTCACTTCCACTTTTTTTTTTTGTGTGTGTGTGTGTGTGTGGGTGTGTTGGGTTGATTCGGATTGGGGTTTGTCATCTTCGTGTGTAAAAGGGAATGGTGGATCGCGCCCAAAAGCCACCCATGTCTGCGAGTGTGTGACGCTCGGAATTTGTTGATCATTTGTAAAAATTTCAGAATTTTCGCATGTTCTAAGGTGAAGGCGAGTGTGTTGAGGGTTTGAGGAGAAGAGGTTGAGGAAAGGTCCCCGCCATGACCATGACATCAACAAAAATCACAACATCAGCGGCGTCAGTGTCAACATGAGGAGTAGCAGCGGAGGCAGCAACAGCGAAAGCGATAATGAGAAGGATTTGAGACATAACCCGCGGAAGTCTGTATTCCGGGACTTGCATGCTGAGGAACTCCCGTGGATCCGTACAGAGTGCGTGATCGACACCGTCCAGGCATTTAGTTCTCAAGCCTTGCTACTTTCTATCAGACCATCAGATGAGTTTTCCGAGCTTGTGGAAATTGAAAATTGGGGTCCTTCGGACGAGTGGGCCAGCCCAGCGCTGGGCTTTTGAGGACATTTGGGAAGTACAGGCCATTGGAGCTAGATACTAGAGACCTTTGGGCTGTGAGTAAGTGCAGTTTGTGCACATTTTGGGTTCAAGCCCTGACCACGACTCTGTGCAGGCTGCAGCCTACCTTGCCCAAGCCGTCGTCTTCCTGTACAAGGCGGGAGACAGTGTCTTCAGGAATTATCGTGCCTGAGTGGGGCCAATGCTCCCGTAAGGGCCGGACTTATGTGCCTCCTAGATGTTGAGACGCCGAATTCGGGACAGGGTCGTTGGAGAGAACACGCAGGACCCCGAAAGAGACTGAATAGATGAACTGGCTAGGAGGGTTAATGCAAAAAAGCGTTTGAGGCCATCGATTACGACGGCCTGGAGTGCCCCAACAACTCCCCGGTGGGCTGCGCTGCCAGTGTGGCCGGTTGCTCGCCAGCTTTGATCTGCCTCCACAGAAGAAGTGTGAAGAGTTTTGGAATGTGGCATTTTGTCACTGTTCTCGATCTCTGCAGTCTAGTTGATTTCGCAACAGAATATGGAGGGAAGTTGAAGCCCAAAGTTGTAGCCGATAGTTCCCGAGGCTTCATCACCTCCATCACCTGGATTGCCTCCTACCTGTGCCTTGGCTTCCTATGCGAAGTTTGGGGTGTCAGACCGTTAGAGCAAAGCTTCGGAAATGTGGAGCTTCACACCCGGATTGTTTTTAATTCGAAGCGAGGTCCTGACCAGGTTTTGCAGGTCTAGTTTACAAGGTATTTTGAAAGGGAAAACGAGGCATACACGTGGATGTAGACTAGCGGCTTCTGCAGACCATGTTTGCACAAAGTTCAGCGGAAGAGCAGCCGGTCGCACAGATCTCCCCATGGAATCTATCGAGTTCGGTCCTGGATGGCACGGTAGCACAAAACCGCTGTCACAGGATCGTTGTTGTAGAGTGGGGTCCCCCCAATTGCAGGATTGTGCCTGATTGAGAGCAGTGGGATCCGTGAAAGGTGATGAAGGTTCTTCAGGAAATCTGCAGGTCCTTCGCGGCGAACGCCTGCGGCCAGGCCGTGAACAACGGAGCGCTCTGTGCAGGCGGGGAACCCCAACCTCCAGCCCCAGCATGTCCAGCATCTGCCATCCCTGGCCTCAATCCTGGAAGACAGTTGCAACCGGAGGGCCCCAAACCCAGCCATCACCACAGATTCCTCTTTCTGAGTCGCCCTAAGAGGTGACTTCACCGCCTTGATGGCCAACTTTGGTGAGATTGCCACCGTGGGCGCCGCCGCCAGAGCTGATTGCAACTTCGGCACCTTGGATCTGTTGCTTCGCATTTCGGGAAGTGGGGTCTTTCCGATTTGCGTCGAAGGGGCGAAGCTCGGGTTACGAAGCAGATATGTGGAAGGTGCGTCCTCTCCTGCTGCAATGTATGTTCAACTGGTGTCGGGGAAACTTCGGCGGAGGTTTGGACCCTCTGCACTGTGCAACAAGTTCGTCCAAGTACTACTTTAATTACCTAGGGCCTAGGGCCCGGCAACGGGTGCATGGGTCATCCCAGGCAAGAACGCCCTCCAGATCCTCACGAGGACGGAGACCATCTCCCCTCCGCATCTCGGTCGAGAATCTGCAGCAAAACCTCGATTCCCCCTTAGTATACAACACAGCGACTCCTAGACCTTCAAGACCACCCAAGACCGAGATGCACCGCGAGACTTCTCATCACGAAGCAAGGTGGAAGGAGTTCGTCCCTGCTGGCGCATCGCCAGCTGTGGAGAAGGCCCTGAAGGTGAAGGGGCGCCTCGGACTAAAGTGTGGCGATGTGTGGCGAGGCGCAAGGTTCAAGGTGTTGGGCTGTGGCTGCAGCCTTCGATCTCTCGAGATGCTCTTTCGCGACCAGCCCTGGATCCCTTCCGCGGCCCCTGGCCCTAGCAAGCAGAGGCACAAAGACCAGCAGCGCAACCGCGACTACGACATCGTCCAGTGCACAGCGGACATCACCAACTCTGTCTCCTACATCGTGCCCTGGAGTTTTGATCGGTTTTTGCAGTGGCTGCGTAGCCAGGATGTCTTGCGATCCCCATCCCCTGACCCCTGCACTCCCGCAACAAAGCCTCGAAACTCAAGGCCAGAATTCCCAAACTGGACATCTGCAAGGCCAACTCCCGAATCATAGCAAGTTGGAGCCCTCATCAAATCAAAGGTCAATGCTTTTGCCATTATTGAGCTTCAATGAGAAATACCTAGTCTGCGGCTGGATACATCCCGGTCCTGTGTGCAACGGATCTCCGCCCAAGCCACGAAGCCAGGTGCGAGCGATCCTTCAGATCCGCGCCGCGGGCAGCGCCTGCGCCGACCCGAAGTCATGCGCTGTCGGCATCATGCGACCGGGATTCGCTTAGCCTGTGTTGGAGGTTGGAGCGTGCGGCTTCAGTTCGGAGTCAATTAAGGGCCAATGCTGTGATCAGATGGACCCTTTTTCTGTGATTCAGGTTCTTTTGAGTTGAGTCCTTTGCGCCCGGGAATGTCACGGCATTCTACACATTGGAACTCGCGGGTGTTCGTTCTTGGGTCTTGTATGCGTCCGTTGTCGCTTCAGGTTGCCGTATTGATGTGTTGTTGAGCTTTGGGGCTTGGGCACACACGGGCGTGTAGGTTTCGGAAGTTCAGGGAGCTTGTAGACACTTCAGCGGCGTTTGGGCCGCTGAAGTCCGGAATCGTGTGAGTCCACCGAGCGTCTGCAGCCTGCTTTGTGCGGTGTTCTCGTGCGTTTGTGGGGTTTCCTCTCTTCAGTTCCGGCTGTGGCCCTTCGAGTGCCGGGGCCCAGTTTCGTGGAAGCTGAAGGCTACGATTTTGAGTTCAACCGCAATCTGGATAGTGGCGTGAAAAGCTCAGGAACATCATCTCCTCTTTCGCATGGATCTCTCAGTTCACGGCATTGGCGGTGTCGGACTGCCAGGTGCGCCTGGGATTCGGGCCTTCCCTATGGCCGAGCTGGGGTTGCTGTGCACTTTGCTTTGAGACGATCGGTCATCCAGCATGTCAACAGAACATCTCTTTCCATCTATCTGCCTGTCTTTGTCTCAAGGGTCATGCAATCATACAGGTACGCACGCACGAATGCCTGCAGTCTAGACTATGGCCATCCATGGCCGGACTCATCACAGCCCGGAGCCGTGCATGCCGAATTCAGGTGGGGGCCGACCAGAAGGCCCTGTGCACCGCCGACATCTCCGACGCTGGGCTTGCTTGTTTCGTTTGTTTCGTTTGTTTGTTTGCTTGCTGGTTTGTTTGTTTGTTTGTTTGCTTGCTCGTTTGTTTGTTTGTGTTTGTGCACGTGTCGCGTATCGCGAGCACGTCATAGTGTGTCTTATATATCTTGTTATAGCCACCAACCTTACAAGAAAATACAGGCTGCCACCACGGAGTAGCCGCCATCGTCGTCATCATACTCGTCGAAGCAGTTGTAGATCGCCGTAGAAGCAGTGAATACCGCTCCAGCTTAGCTTGGGGAGGAGCAGGAAGCCTTTCACACCAGATGCTCTGAGCCCGGGGTGGCCATATCCCACCATGCAACCACCGCAAGTATCGGGATCCCTTCAAGGGCATACCTTCCTCAGCTGGGCGTGAACCCGTTTCAGCACAGCACCTAGCCACGCCAAAGGGCTCGACAAGAAGCCTCACAGTCCCTCCTTCCCAAATCCACGGCTCCTTCATCCCAGGACATGGTGGCCGCCCTGACCAACGGACCGGCCGCCGGCATCGCCTCCACCTCGGACTGCGCCGACCTCTAAGCGACTTGGCACCGGGTTGGTGCTGGTGCTGCGGGCTGCAGGTTGCTAGGATGCCTCGGCAAATACTCCGGTCTGTAGAACGGGTTTTGAGGCTGCTTGGAGGCTTCGGGTTCAACGGCCAAGAGCTCGGCTCCAGGAGAGGCGTGGGCAAGGGCCACTACGGCCGAGCGCGCTCTTTCCTGAGTTCAGGAAGTCGATGGGGATTCCCCGGCTGAGTTCGACATCAGAGGATCCTACTTCACGTCGTGCTTCTGACCTGTATCTTGATTAAACATATTAAACGCTCAAGCGTCAGCCGTCGGCTCCCGCTTTTAACTGGCACAGTAATGGTTGGAGACCATCCATCATTCCTTGTGGCGCGCCTCGCAAAAAGCGAGGGGTGCGTTTAACATACAGTTTCGAGGCACGTCTTTGGGGACTGCCTATCCATCGAATCGTGCCGGATGGAGGCTCTCTTCAGGACAATCCGTACGAGAGACCTCGCAGCCCGGTGCTGTTTTGCGTCCTGCACGGAGCGGTCGCTCCTGTCCGCGAAAAGTCGGGCGATCAGATCTGAATCGTGGGTGGGGTTTCGGGCTCTAAGTTACAAAACTGTCGTGGGATACATCGTGCCTTGAAAGAAACATCTGCTTCGCCCACCCGCCCATCCCGCCCATCTGCTGCAGGCGTTGCTGCCCGTAGACTGGATTTCGGCCCGTGTCCTTTCCTCGGTTTCCCACTTGGCCATGGCACTGACTCACGGCGCGCTCTCGGAGGAAGAGGCCCAACGGTTCATCGGTGGCATCCTTGTCTGAGGACCCCGAACCGCAGGTCCTAGGCAGCCCGATGCAGCATTCAAACCACAAGCGCCGCCAGAGCTCCAGCAAAGATTCCTGTCAAGCTTGTCAAAGCCAATCAGCCCAGCCACGACTCCACCCCTGCAGCAGGTGGTCCTCGTGGAGAAGCCCCGTGCACCCAAGGGACGTTGGTACATGGCAGGCGCCGACCCGCGTCCGACTCGTTCGACAAGAACTCACCCTTTCAGGGCGTTGAGGGCCCTGACTCCGCCTTGAAGCCGACGTGCCAAGGAAAGATGATTCGTCGATCTTCCTAAGCCGTGATTCGACAATCCTTTCTGGCACTGAAAAGTTGAAAGCCATCGCTTGGAAGGCGCCGCCGTTGCGACCTTGGCGCTTGTGGGCGTCGTGGCAAAGGCACCGTGTGATGTCGGGATTGGGTTCAGCCTTCATCACTCCGAACGTTTTGGATTGCAAGATCTTCGGGGCATTGAGAAAAGAGTCTCGCCGCGAGTCCTCGGCATCTTACATTCTTCAAAAAAAGCATTGAAGTTTGTTGAACAAGTTGCAACATGCACTTCATCTTGTTTATGCCTTGCGGTCGGTTACTGCTTCAGTTTGCCGTGAACGGTGTTCGTCCACCTGACTAGTTGAAGCGTTTGCTTGTTTTACATTTTCACAACGACATGCGACGAGGTGTCCCACTCCTCTCTCTCCAAGTCCAAGACACTGGATGAGATCGAGAACTGGGAGGAGCTTCCAGGAATGGACCAGGCGCTGGGTGTCGTAGTGTCTCAGTTTCTCGTACTCAGTTCGTACTCCGAGCAATCTCGGTTCTGGGTAGAGCTCGCATTGCCAAGACGTTGAACGCGCAAGCACGAGCCAAGCAGCGTAAGTGTCGGAGCAGGTCATCCACAAGGCCCAGGCCCTGAAGATGGACAAGCCCTTGCGCAACCTGCAGGACCTGTGACTCGGCGGTGCACTTCCGAAGCCTCAAAGCGAATTGAGGTTCAAGGCTCAAGGCTGTCAGCTGTCTGGGACACACACCGCAAGTCACTCAAAAGCACCTATGCCAGCTGGAACTCCACACCCTAAACAGCCTGAACATTCTGACGACACGAAACCACAAAGTCACGAAGCACAGAGTGCGCCCGTCCCGAGGTTCTACGATTCCCAGCCGGAGGATACTTGGGTTTCAATTGGAGCTCTGGGGTTTCAGGGTCGGGAGGTTTGGGGAGTTGGGCTGCAAGGCGTTCAGGGTGGGATTTCTGGTCATGTGCTCCTCGAAAGGGATTCCCTCGCCCCCGAACGTCTCGAACGCCGTGGGCCAGGCGGGTGGGCGGGTTTACAGAATCCTGTTGGGCTTGGTTTTTGTTTCCGCCTGGTGGTCGTTCAGGGTCTGCTTCCGACCTGGCCTGTCTGTTTTTCCCCGCTGGCTGTCGGGTTGGGTTTTTTTCCAACGTGCCCCGCCTGCATGCCAAAAAGCGTCGACTCCTCACCAGTGCTGTTGAGCGGCTTTGCCCTTGCGGCAGGCGTCAAAAAACCCATGTTCGTCGCCTGGCCCTCCTGTCGGCCAACCGTGCCTTCGCCCTGCAAAACCCCTCCACCTCTTTGGAAAGGTTTTGTCTCCCGACCCACCGGCCGGCGGAGGTCTTTATCCGGTTGCCTGAAACCGAGAAAGATGAGCGAACCGGTTGGAAGGGACGCGAGAGTCTGAGCCGGAGGAGCGAACCGTTCGGAACGGACTACGAGAATTTGAGAAAATGTCTGCGAGTGTGTGACGCTCGGAATTTGTTGATCGTTTGTAAAAGGCAATTTTTTTCACATGTTCAAGGGTGAAGGCGAGTGTGTTGAGGGTTTGAGGAGAAGAGGTTGAGGAAAGGTCCCCCCATGACCATGACATCACAATAAAATTACGTAACAACATCAGCGGCGTCAGTGTCAACATGAGGAGTAGCAGCGGAGGCAGCAACAGCGAAAGCGATAATGAGAAAGATTTGAGACATAACCCGCGGAAGTCTGTAATTCGGGACTTGCATGCTGAGGAACTCCCGTGGATCCGTACAGAGTGCGTGATCGACACCGTCCAGGCATTTAGTTCTCAAGCCTTGCTAAGTTCTATCAGATCATCAGATGAGCTTTCCGAGCTTGTGGACATTTAAAATTGGGGTCCTTCGGACGAATGGGCCAGCCCAGCGCAGGGCGCAAAGGCTTGAGGACATTTGGGAAGCACGGGCCTCTGGAGCTAGAGACCTTTGGGCTGGGAGTAAGTGCAGTTTGTGCACATTTTGGGTTCAAGCCCTGACCACGACTCTGTGCAGGCTGCAGCCTACCTTGCCCAAGCCGTCGTGTTCCTGTACAAGGCGGGAGACAGTGTCTTCAGGAATTATCGTGCCTGAGTGGGGCCAATGCTCCCGTAAGGGCTGGATTTATGTGCCTCCTAGATGTTGAGACGCCGAACTCGAGACAGGGTCGTCGGAGAGAACACGCAGGACCCCGAAAGAGACTGAATAGATGCTCTGGCTAGGAGGGTTAATGCAAAAAAGCGTTTGAGGCCATCGATTACGACGGCCTGGAGTGCCCCAACAACTCCCCGGTGGGCTGCGCTGCCAGTGTGGCCGGTTGCTCGCCAGCTTTGATCTGCCTCCGCATGGGATCTTGTCACTGTTCTCGATCTCTGCAGTCTAGTTGATTTCGTAACAGGGTTTCCAATGTGAATATGGAGGGAAGTTGAAGCCCAAAGTTGTAGCCGATAGTCTCCGAGGCTTCATCACCTCCATCACCTGGATTGCCTCCTACCTGTACCTTGGCTTCCTATGCGAAGTTTGGGGTGTCAAAACTGTTAGAGCAAGGCTTCGGAACTGTGGAGCTTCACACCCGGATTGTCTTTAATTCGAAGCGAGGTCCTGACCAGGTTTTCCGGGTCTAGTTTACAAGATATTTTGAAAGGGAAAGCGAGGCATACACGTGGATGTAGACTAGCGGCTTCTGCAGACCATGTTTGCACGAAGTTCAGCGGAAGAGCAGCCGGTCGCACAGATCTCCCCATGGAATCTATCGAGTTCGGTCCTGGATGGCACGGTAGCACAAAACCGCTGTCACAGGATCGTTGTTGTAGAGTGGGGTCCCCCCCAATTGCAGGATTGTGCCTGATTGAGAGCAGTGGGATCCGTGAAAGGTGATGAAGGTTCTTCAGGAAATCTGCAGGTCCTTCGCGGCGAACGCCTGCGGCCAGGCCGTGAACAACGGAGCGCTCTGTGCAGGCGGGGAACCCCAACCTCCAGCCCCAGCATGTCCAGCATCTGCCATCCCTGGCCTCAATCCTGGAAGACAGTTGCAACCGGAGGGCCCCAAACCCAGCCATCACCACAGATTCCTCTTTCTGAGTCGCCCCAAGAGGTGACTTCACCGCCTTGATGGCCAACTTTGGTGAGATTGCCACCGTGGGCGCCGCCGCCAGAGCTGATTGCAACTTCGGCACCTTGGATCTGTTGCTTCGCATTTCGGGAAGTGGGGTCTTTCCGATTTGCGTCGAAGGGGCGAGGCTCGGGTTACGAAGCAGTTATGTGGAAGGTGCGTCCTCTCCTGCTGCAATGTATGTAAAACTTCGGCGGAGGTTTGGACCCTCTGCACTGTGCATCAAGTTCGTCCAAGTACTACTTTAATTACCTAGGGCCCGGCAACGGGTGCATGGGTCATCCCAGGCAAGAACGCCCTCCAGATCCTCACGAGGACGGAGACCATCTCCCCTCCGCATCTCGGTCGAGAATCTGCAGCAAAACCTCGATGCCCCATTAATGTACAAAAGAGCGACTCCCAGACCTTCAAGACCACCCAAGACCGAGATGCACCGTGAGACTTCTCATCACGAAGCAAGGTGGAAGGAGTTCGTCCCTGCTGGCGCATCGCCGGCCGTGGAGAAGGCCCTGAAGGTGAAGGGGCGCCTCGGACTAAAGTGTGACGACGTGTGGCGAGGCTCAAGGTTCAAGGTGTTGGGCTGTGGCTGCAGCCTTCGATCTCTCGAGATATTCTTTCGCGACCAGCCCTGGATCCCTTCCACGGCCCCTGGCCCTAGCAAGCAGAGGCACAAGGACCAGCAGCGCAACCGCGACTACGACATCGTCCAGTGCACGGCGGACATCACCAACTCTGTCTCCTACATCGTGCCCTGGAGTTTTGATCGGTTTTTGCAGTGGCTGCATAGCCAGGATGTCGCACAGGGTCTTGGGCTGGGCAAATCAGTCTTACGATCCCCATCCCCTAACCCCTGCACTCCCCCAACAAAGCCTCCTTCCAGGGACCCAGACCCACACCTGGAATCCCAACACTCTCGAAACTCAAGGCCAGAATTCCCAAACTGGACATCTGCAAGGCCAACTCCCGAATCATAGCAAGTTGGAGCCCTCATCAAATCAAAGGTCAATGCTTTTGCCATTATTGAGCTTCAATGAGAAATACCTAGTCTGCGGCTGGATACATCCCGGTCCTGTGTGCAACGGATCTCCGCCCAAGCCACGAAGCCAGGTGCGAGCGATCCTTCAGATCCGCGCCGCGGGCAGCGCCTGCGCCGACCCGAAGTCATGCGCTGTCGGCATCATGCGACCGGGATTCGCTTAGCCTGTGTTGGAGGTTGGAGCGTGCGGCTTCAGTTCGGAGTCAATTAAGGGCCAATGCTGTGATCAGATGGACCCTTTTTCTGTGATTCAGGTTCTTTTGAGTTGAGTCCTTTGCGCCCGGGAATGTCACGGCATTCTACACATTGGAACTCGCGGGTGTTCGTTCTTGGGTCTTGTATGCGTCCGTTGTCGCTTCAGGTTGCCGTATTGATGTGTTGTTGAGCTTTGGGGCTTGGGCACACACGGGCGTGTAGGTTTCGGAAGTTCAGGGAGCTTGTAGACACTTCAGCGGCGTTTGGGCCGCTGAAGTCCGGAATCGTGTGAGTCCACCGAGCGTCTGCAGCCTGCTTCGTGCGGTGTTCTCGTGCGTTTGTGGGGTTTCCTCTCTTCAGTTCCGGCTGTGGCCCTTCGAGTGCCGGGGCCCAGTTTCGTGGAAGCTGAAGGCTACGATTTTGAGTTCAACCGCAATCTGGATAGTGGCGTGAAAAGCTCAGGAACATCATCTCCTCTTTCGCATGGATCTCTCAGTTCACGGCATTGGCGGTGTCGGACTGCCAGGTGCGCCTGGGATTCGGGCCTTCCCTATGGCCGAGCTGGGGTTGCTGTGCACTTTGCGTTGAGATGATCGGTCATCCAGCATGTCAACAAAACATCTCCTTCCATCTAGCTGCCAGTTTGTGTCTCAAGGGTCATGCAATCACACAGGCATGCACACACGAATACCTGCGGTCTAGACAATGGCCATCCATGGCCGGACTGCAGCTGTCAAAGCCCGGAGCCGTGCATGCCGAATTCAGGTGGGGGCCGACCAGAAGGCCCTTTGCACCGCTGACATCTCCGACGCTGGGCTTGTTTGTTTCGTTTGTTTGCTTGCTTGCTGGTTTGTTTGTTTGTTTGCTCGTTTATTTGTTTGTGTTTGTGCACGTGTCGTGCATCGACCCGTTTCAGCACAGCACCTAGCCACGCCAAAGGGCTCGACAAGAAGCCTCACAGTCCCTCCTTCCCAAATCCACGGCTCCTTCATCCCAGGACATGGTGGCCGCCCTGACCAACGGACCGGCCGCCGGCATCGCCTCCACCTCGGACTGCGCCGACCTCTAAGCGACTTGGCACCGGGTTGGTGCTGGTGCTGCGGGCTGCAGGTTACTAGGATGCCCTCGGCAAAGACTCCGGTCTGTAGAACGGGTTTGGAGGCTGCTTGGAGGCTTCGGGTTCAACGGCCAAGAGCTCGGCTCCAGGAGAGGCGTGGGCAAGGGCCACTACGGCCGGCGTGCGTCGCACGCTTTCCTGAGTTCAGGGAGTCGATTGGGATTCCCCGGCTGAGTTCGACATCACAGGATCCTACTTCACGTCGTGCTTCTGACCTTTATCTTGATTAAACATATTAAACACTCTAGCGTCAGCCGTGGGTTCCCGCTTTTAACTGGCACAGTAATGGTTGGAGACCATCCATCATTCCTTGTGGCGCGCCTCGCAAAAAGCGAGGGGTGCGTTTAACATACAGTTTCGAGGCACGTCTTTGGGGACTGCCTATCCATCGAATCGTGACGGATGGAGGCTCTCTTCAGGACAATCCGTACGAGAGACCTCGCAGCCCGGTGCTGTTTTGCGTCCTGCACGGAGCGGTCGCTCCTGTCCGCGAAAAGTCGGGCGATCAGATCTGAATCGTGGGTGGGGTTTCGGGCTCCAAGTTACAAAACTGTCGTGGGATACATCGTGCCTTGAAAGAAACATTTGCTTCGCCCACCCGCCCATCTGCCGCAGGCGTTGCTGCCCGTAGACTGGATTTCGGCCCATATCCTTTCCTCGGTTTCCCACTTGGCCATGGCACTGACTCACGGCGCGCTCTCGGAGGAAGAGGCCCAAGCCCCAAATTCGTCGGTTCAGGCAGCATCTTTGTCTGAGGAGGACCCCGATCAGCAAGTCCTAAACGGTTGGCTTCGGACCGTAGAAGCATTGAAACCGCAAGACTCCACCCCTGCAGCAGGTGGTCCTCATGGAGAAGCCCCGTGCACCCAAGGGACGTTGGTACATGGCAGGCGCCGACCCGCGGCCGACTCGTTCGATAAGAACTCACCCTTTGAGTGCGTCGAGGGCCTTGACTCCGCCTTGAAGCCGACGTGCCGAGAAGGAAAGATGATTCGTCGATCTTCCTAAGCCGTGATTCGCGAATTCTTTCTGGCACTGAAAAGTTGAAAGCCATCGCTTGGAAGGCGCCGCCGTTGCGACCTTGGCGCTTGTGGGCGTCGTGGCAAAGGCACCGTGTGATGTCGGGATTGGGTTCAGCCTTCATCACTCCGAACGTTTTGGATTGCAAGATCTTCGGGGCATTGAGAAAAGAGTCTCGCCGCGAGTCCTCGGCATCTTACATTCTTCAAAAAAAGCATTGAAGTTTGTTGAACAAGTTGCAACATGCACTTCATCTTGTTTATGCCTTGCGGTCGGTTACTGCTTCAGTTTGCCGTGAACGGTGTTCGTCCACCTGACTAGTTGAAGCGTTTGCTTGTTTTACATTTTCACAACGACATGCGACGAGGTGTCCCACTCCTCTCTCTCCAAGTCCAAGACACTGGATGAGATCGAGAACTGGGAGGAGCTTCCAGGAATGGACCAGGCGCTGGGTGTCGAGTGTCTCAGTTTCTCGTACTCAGTTCGTACTCCGAGCAATCTTGGCTCTGGGTAGAGAGTCTTTTAGACATCCATCGCTCTGAGCGAGCATTGCCAAGAGACGTTGAAGGTGCAGGCGGGAGCAAAGCAACGTAAGCCTCGAGACAGGTCATCCACAAGGCCCAGGCCCTGAAGATGGACAAGCCCTTGCGCAACCTGCAGGACCTGTGACTCGGCTCGGCATTTCCGGTTTCGGGCTTGGCTGTCCAGCCTGGGGTTTCTTCGAGGTGGAGCTTGGATTTCGCTCGCTCTGATGAAACGCCCACCCGAGGTTCTACGACTCCCAGCCGGAGGATGCTTGGATTTCGATAGGACTCAGGGCTTAGGGCCCTAGGACGTGGGGAGTTTTTGGCTGCAAGAGGTTGAGGGCTTCGCAATCTGGGGCATGGCCCAGTCTGAGTTCAGAAGCCGAGGGCTTGAGGGTTTTGGATCCACACAGACAGTTGTTCGGGGGAGCAGGGCCAGGATACTTGGGGGTTTGGTTGCGGACATGGAGCAGGCTGAGTTTTGGCGCAGGGCCTCAACCGTTGCACCCGTCACCATCACTGCATCGGCAGCAGTGGCAGCAGCCAAAGCAGCGGAAATCAGCGACTGTGCTTAGAAGCAGTGCGGACAAGAACGAGAAGGGCTTGCCATTTGGCTCAAGTGAACCGAGTCGTGGTGCAGCGATCCCGTTTGGACCGTCCCTCAGTGCTGTCACTGTTGTAGTGAAACATGAGCAGCGATGGAAAGATGGAAATCAGCGAGGCAGCGAAGTCTGGCGACGGTACCCTGAAAAACGTCGGCATCAAAGTGAACGGGAAGTTCAAGTCACCTGTCAACAACCAGTTGTTTGACACCAAAGAGGCCCTCGACCTCCACTTGAAGTACCTTCACGATCCGAAGAAGGCCAATCCAGCCGTCGAGGAATGAAGATCTTCTCTAGTGTGAGTGTGTGTGGCAGCATATTCAACTGGGGACTTGGTTGGTCTTGTACGTCGGCACGAGGCGGTGGCTTTCCATGACTCGAGTTCTTGTGACATTTTTAACCGTCACAGCTGAGGGGTGATTTTGTGCTGCGCCTTGCGCTACAGCAGGGCATTTTGTGGCAGCAATTGCGCGCCGGATACCTGCTTTCCACTTGAAGTGGGGGCTACTCTGGACTGGTGTACTCTCCGTGGTCGATAGGGACCCACTTGATGCAGCCAGATACATCTCGTGTCACAAAACAGTGCGCTAAAGTCTAAGTTTCTGTACAGGAGCTGCGTTACAGTCCAAGTATACCCGTTCCTGGAATGTTGTAGTGGCCGGCCCCAAGTCCACAAATCCGAGAGACGTCGGAAATCCTGCTGACGTGGCTTTCAACGCTTTCAACGTTTGCTGAGGAACTCCCGTGGATTCGTACAGAGTGCGTGATCGACACCGTCCAGGCATTTTAGTTCTCAAGCCTTGCTAATTTCTAAGACCAAAGATCATCAGACGAGCTTTCCAAGACCATGGAAATTGAAAGTTGGGGGCCTTCGGACGATTAGACCGGCCCCCTGCAGGGCACAAAGGCTTGAGGACATTTGGGAATTACAGGCCGTTCGAGCTAGAGACCTTTGTGCTGGGAGTTTTCGGTTCAAGCCTTGACCACGACGTTGTGCAGGCCGCAGCCTACCTTGCCCAAGCCGTCGTCTTCCTCTACAAGGCAGGCCGCAGTGTTCTGGGAGCGTGTCGTGGGCCAGGGTTGAGAGTTTCCGGAGCTCTGAGAATTCCCCAGACCGATGCACTGATCGATCTGTCCGTGCAATTCTGCTACATCTTTGACTAATCAAGCGGATATTGAGGGTCTGAACAACGGATGCCCTGGCGCAGAGAGTTCTTGGATTTGAAGGCCATTGACTACGATGGCTTGGAGTGCCCCAACAACTCGCCGGTGGGCTGCGCTGCCAGTGTGGCTGGTTGCTCGCCAGCTGTTTCGATTGTCTTCTCAAATCATGCTTTGAGGGAGGGAGGGAGGGAGGGAGGGAGGGAGGGTGGAAGTGGCCGAGGGGGCGGGGGGGGGGGGGAAGAGATCATGCAAGCTGAGAAAAAAGCTGCTGAAACGCACAAGGAAATTCCGTGCTGTGGAGTCTGAGGATCTTGTTCCTTTCTGCTTGGGGACGACAGCGCTGTAAGTGCAAGTTCGCGCGAAGCTCAAGCCCATTGAAGCCCGAAGTTGCAGCCGCAGCCTCGTATTGTCCGAGGCTTCATCACCTCCATCACGTGGATCGCCTCGTACCTGCGCCTTCTCCGCAGTGAATGCAGACTTTGGGAATCACGATGGTGTTGGAATGACGGGGTTCTGAGATCGGGCCCAGGTTAGGGCTTCTGGGGGCTGGAGTCGGCACAGTTCGGCCTCGCCTCTTTTGGAGTGCTGTTTCCGGTTAACGGTTTCCTGGATCCAGTTCAGAGGTCCTCAAAGAAACCAACCCCATATACCGAGCTTAAACGGAAGTAGAGTCCATTTCTACGAACCGATAGGCTGTAGGTTCCCGTCACGGCGCACAAGGGACGGAACCTCTAGAGTAGAGATGATTGTAGGGGTTCTTCCATGGGGCGGTAGCATGGATCCTCTCTTCAGGTTCGTGGCAGCAGGCAAACTCTCAAGTGGGCTTTTGACTTGATATTAGGCGATCGTTCTTGCTGACACCGCCAGGTCCTTTGCGGCGAACGCCTGCGGCCAGGCCGTGAACAACGGAGCGCTTTGCGCAGGCTTGCAGCGTTTGCTATGCTGGGGCATGTCCAGTCGTGTTTCGGGTTGGAGTGAGGCTAGGAATAGCCCCCAAAATCATCTGGGAGGACAAAACTCCCACGTCTTCCAGCTCTTGAATCCCATACCCAAACCGCGATGCGCCGGAGGTGACTTTACCGCCTTGATGGCCAACTTCGGTGAGATCGCCACTGTAGGTGCTGCAGCGCGAGCGGACTGCGACTTCGGCACCTCGGGCTTACCGTCGCTTGAGTTTTCGGGGCTCAGCGATGTTGCCCTGAGGTCCAGCATTGGGATGTTGGTGTGGCAGAGGGCTGCGGTTGGGGCGAAGTTCTATTCATTGTGCGGATCTGTGGACTCAACCCTGTGATTCGCAAAGCCTGTCATTCACCAAATCGCAGGACCCGGATGCAAAGCTCAATGAGTGAAATGTTTGGTAGGGCCCAGGCAAGCCATCCGTAGGCTGAGGACATCTTCAGTTGGACCAGCATTCAGGTCTTCCAGTTGCGGGGTCGGCTTCGGAGTTCGTGATGCCCACGCCTTCACTGTCCCAGCAGATGAAGCGCTTCGTAGTCAGGCAAGAACGCCCTCCAGATCCTCACGAGGACGGAGACCATCTCTCCTCCGCATCTCGGTCGAAAGTCAGAGAACTTTTCAACAAGATGTCGGTGCAAGACCTTCAAGCCTGGAAGACCCCAACGTCGATACTCATCAGAAGGTGGAAGGAGTTCGTGCCTGCTGGAGCATCGCCCGCCGTGGAGAAGGCCCTGAAGATCAAGGGGCGCCTCGGACTAAAGCACTTGAAGCGCGTGTCGGCTGCAAAGTTCAAGTTCTAGGGAGTTGAGAGACGTGTGTCAGCTTCATTCAGCTTCCCGGATATATTCTTCGGTGCTGAGCTTCCACTGAAAGCTCCCAAAGCCCTGGATCCCTTCCGACCTGGAGCAATCAGAGGCACAAGGACCAGCAGCGCAACCGCGACTACGACATCGTCCAGTGCGCCGCGGACGTCACCAACTCCGTCTCCTACATCGTGCCTTGGAGTTCCGAGTTGGCTTTGCGGTGGCTGTGCAGTCTGTGTAGTAAGCATGTCACACAGATCCTTTGGGATTTTTGGGGCTGAAGCGGGTTCAGCAGCTGGGTTTGGTTCAACATCTCAGAGACGTGATTGAGCTGGAAGTTAAATACAGCAAGCCCGTTGGAACTGCGAGCCCAAGGTGCGAGCGATCCTTCAGATCCGTGCCGCGGGAAGCGCCTGCGCCGACCCCAAGTCATGCGCTGTCGGCATCATGCGACACGGATTCGATTGGCAGTCTTTTGGATGTTCAAGGGTGCAGCCTTAACTTCTTGGCTCAGGGTGTCATCAGTCAAGTTTGGAGAGTAGCGCGCGCAGGGCTCTCTTAGCATGGCCAGGGTTGGGAAGAGTTCGCGGTTGAGACTGTTGTTTCGGGTCGGGTGTTGAAGTGCAGCTGGCCGTTGCTCAGTCACCTGACCTCGCACGTTTACGTGTGTCGAGGCCCCCTGAAACACTCAGCACCTCACCGAGTGAATGTTTCTCAGCTAACGCCAAGGCCTTGCAAAGAACAATCACCTGAGCGAAAGCTTTAGATAGTGCTCAGACGTTCAGGATGCAGAAAATCAGATGCTTGAAGTAAGATTTTGAGTTGAGCCCTGAACCTCCACCCATCTGATCCCACTGATGTCGAGTTGTCGGAAAGCGAATGTCAGCATGAAGAGCTCAGGAACATCATCTCCTCTTTCGCATGGATCTCGCAGTTCACTGCACTGGCCGTCTCCGATTGCCAGGCGAGGGGATGCAAGCCTGAGGCTTTTTAAAGGTGAGGTGGATGGAATTGTTGTGAACGCGAAGCCGCTAGCCGCTAGCTAACTCAGGCTCATCACCTCATCGCCTGTGTGTTATCAGTCTATCGGTCCACCACAGCCTCGGTACCAGTATACTCTCACGTTCCGTCCCCGCTTTCCGAGTGGCCCGAAGGCCTGAAGCAGAGGCCAAGCCTTGAAACTTCCCAGCATTCAAAAAAATCAAGCCCAATTAGCAGGGCTCAACTCGACGCAGTCTCCCGAAAGTCGAAGGGTTCAGGGTTGGCCGCGAGCGCAATTGGGAAGCGGTTGAAGGGGTCGCTGCTTCTTAGCGCTTGACCATGAAAGCCTCAGTGTCAGGTGGGAGCTGACCAGAAGGCCCTCTGCACCGCCGACATCTCCGACCCTGGGCTGTCCTACACATGCTCCGCCTGTTGTACTCACCGACAGTAGCATGCCGTATCATGACTGCCATCAAGTTGCCACCACGGAGTTGCCACCGTCGCTGTCATCGTGCCCGTTGTGGCAGTGGTAGAAGCTGTAAGTAGCGGCACGGCTCCGCTTCCACACTGAAGCTGCTGTTGCTTTCAGCCCTTAGCCCAGCACGGGAGACCCGACATACGCGAGACTCTTTTGGAGGAGGTGCCCTTGCAAGCCGTTTTAGGGCTTGTCCCGAAGCTGTGCGCCCTGACTGGCTTCAAGACCCGCAATGCAATCTAAGCCCCACCCCAAGCCCTCGTGAGAGCCTCGAGAGGCAACCCTGCAGCAGCCTGAGCTCCAAAACACCAAAAAAACCCACAGATCCAACACTCTGAGGACATGGTGGCCGCGCTGACCAACGGACCCGCCGCCGGCATCGCCTCGACCTCCGACTGCGCCGACCTCTAAGCGACCTGGCGCCATCAATCAATGATCAAACTTGCGTTGCCCGGAGGGTTTTCGGCGTTTCCGACAATTCTGACAAGTCTTCGATGCCCAGTCCGATCCAGGCCAGATGCCAATTTCCTTTCAGAGCCCCCGCTAAAACAAGTCCAAGCGGCGTCTGTGCTGATTCTTTGCCTTGCGGATCCAGCACAATCAGTCCGCGGACCCTCGGTTTGGGTCTCGTACGCGGGCGGTTTGAAGGAAGGTTGAGGGTCTCGTCCTGGCTACTAGCTTGGTGCCAGCCGAGGCGTGGGCAAAGGCCAACTACGGCCGCAACGCTTTCCTGAGTTCAGGACGTCTATCAGGATATCCTGGCTGAGTTCGAAACCTGTGGGTCCGAATAGTCTGCAGTCATATCTGCTGGTAGCGTGTTTAGTTGAATGCTCAAAACTCAGCCATGGTTCCTGCTTTTAATTGGTAATGGTCATGGTTGGAGACCATCCCTCATTCCCTCTGGCACAGACTCACGAGAAGTGAGGTGCATCACGTGAGCGGCTTCAGGTGAAATTTGCCTGCAGGCACGTCTGTTGGGACTGTCTACCTTCTTCACCGCATCGTGCTGGACAGAGGCTCTCGGGCAATCCGTAAGAGAGACCTCCGGGCTCGACGCCGTTTTGCATCACGCACGGAGCGATCGCTCCTGTCCGCGAGAAAAGTCCGGTTCTTGAAAGTCTCGGGGTCTGAAGGAAGGCCGACCGGTCATTGGCCGAAGGATGCACGATCGGAGGATTTCCTGCGACACCGATCTGGAACCAGCTCTCAGAAGTAATTACCATGCAAAAACACCGGTCCTCCTTGAGTCCTTCATGCGGTCAGCGCCAGCTGCACCATTTGATGTCAATGTAGTCCTTTCTGCTGTGCGCTTGCCGCAAAGTTGCTCCGCTCAGACCGGATTTCTGCCCTGGGCCTTTCCTTGGTTCCTTGTCTAGCCATGGCAGTCACTCACGGAGCGCTTTCGGAGGAAGAGGTCCATCTCCGGACGGCGGGGGTGACTGCGAAGTTTGTGGTTGGATAAAGCTACTGGTCCGGATCGCTGATGATCTGTATACACTCACCTGAGTGAATGGCATCCATAAACGCATCACGTTCGTGTAGCTGCACCCTCTAGCTGCGGGTTTGTTTGTTTGTGTCCAACACAATCAGAACTGCTTGAGCGTTCCTGAAGGTGCCCATGGTCCAGGAGCAGCCCCGTGCATCCAAGGGACGTTGGTACATGGCAGGTGGCCGCGTTTCAGGCTTAACAGGTCTTCAAGCAAGCTTGCACTGCTTACGTTGAATTCGAGGGCTGAATTGAATTGGGAGTTTCCGAAAATTAGGGATACCTTATTTTGGGGTCATTATATTCGGATCCTACTATTTAGGGTACTCCCTTTCTTTCGGGTTTAGGGGTTAAGGGTTTAGGCTTAGGGTTTGGGGGTTTAGGGTTCAGAAGGGACTGCCATGGGGCCTGGGTTTTTGCACATCCAGTGTTTTGCACTTTTTGCACTACTTGCTCGGTACTTGTCGTTCAGGGTTGCTTTGCATGCTTCGGAAGGCCCTCTGGACCCCTGGAAGTCCTGCAAGCCGTAGTTACACTAGCACAAGCCTTACACCCACACCCTAAACCTTCAGCAAAACCAAAAAACCCAAAAAAACCAAACAAACCAAAAAAACCAAAGAAACCAAAAAAACCAAAAAAACCAAAGATTTCCGCACTAGTCTGAAGGATTCCGACTAGTGCGGAAATCTTTGGTTTTTTTGTTTTTTTTGGTTTGTTTGGTTTTTTTGGTTTTTTTGGTTTCCGCCACGGCTGATGTGCCCGGACAACCTTCCGCTGTGGCTGTTCTTCTGCGTGTAGGGTCTACGTAAACAAGACTACTGTCTAATCTATCTTATGTTATGCTTATAAGCAGTCCGGCTGCTTATGATTCTACGCAGGCTTTCTGCTTATAAGCAGTCCGGCTGCTTATAAGCAGGCTGTCTGCTTATAAGCAATCCGGCTGCTTATAAGCAGGCTGTCTGCTTACAAGCAGTCCGGTTGCCTACAAACAGGCCTTCTGCTTATTAGCACTGCTTATAAGCAATATCCTGTTGTTTATAGGCACTCGTGGGCCGTATGAATAGCTATTCTAACCCCACCCACGCGTGCGCCAGACACCAACTGCCAACCAAGACGGAGAACACGAGAACGCGCACCAATTGCACAAACATTACCGTAAATTTGATTTGATACCCTGACCTGTTGCATGTTTGGTGGAAGAACATGCCAAGCTTATCTAGCATACCACACCACGTGAATTTGTTTGTATTCCCGGTTTCTGTTGAGTATGCAATTCATGATTTGTGGGGGGGTGCGTATGAACGCCCTTCCTTGTTTATGAACACAGACTTGTTTAGAAGAAGTGAGCATCTTATAGAAACGCTGTGTGTGCGAACAATTCAACGGTCCAAGCACCATGTAAACCATCGGGATATGTCAAGGGGAATCCCGAGGATGGAAGGCATCCAGATGGGCCTCGACCATATCTTTTGAACACGTGTCGGGTTTGTATACTATGTCATATACTGCCGCACCATGTCATAAAATAGATGCCAGGTGCTCTAGAAAGTCCGTTTTACACATGAAGGTTACCTTTTTATACGCACAAATATTGCAGACATGCGTGTAGATAAGTTATCTGACCATCTTCCATATATCTATCTGCCTATCCATGTATCTATCCATCTGTCTGTTTGTCTACCCATCCATCTGTACATTCATATACATACTGGTCTCAGCATGGATGATGTCACCGACCTCTTAACCTGGCAACTTACAGACATTGTAAAACCCGGATACAATCTATGACAGGATATGTTATGGCACCGCACAATAGACAAAGCACGTGTGTATAGTGTATATGTTTTCGCCGATTTGCAGAAATACCGTCTTGCCACGGTCACATTAGCTGTGCGTTGTTGTGGGGCCCATTGTAGCAAGTCATTGAGAAATGCGGCTGTACTGAGATATTGCAATAAAGATTGAACTGAGTACTCACACGCCACAGCCTTCAACGAGTCAAGACCTAGAGGAATCAGAACACGGAAAGTCGGCTCTGCACCCGAGAGTACCGGGTATACTTGCTCATGTTTCATATTTCCTTTCACTTCGCTTACGAGCGCCGGCATATCTGCCGTGCACTTCGTATTGTGGCAGTAGAGCGTACCATGGTAGTGCAAACACAGAAGCAGTGCATGCATAGGCTTGTGAGTGTATGTATCCCTGTATTAGTAAGCGAAGGCATGCCCGGGTTTCTGTGTGCATCGTTAGTTACAGCGCCATAAAACCAGATGTGTATAATATATGTGTTCCCCTACTGGCAGAAGTATATACAGTTTTGCGATAGTCATTGGGGTTGCGGATTGGGCTGAGACGCCACATAAGCAAGTCGTACTGACATACTGAAAAACTACAATACAGACTCAACTGCGTAGTACTCTCGCAAACACACAGACCTTCACCACCGAGTCAGGACATCAGGGAATCAGAACACGGCAAGGCGGCTCTGCACCTTAGATTACCGGGTGTTAACGTGGTAGGTTAAAGTGTTAACATAAGCTGGAATGATACATGAGGCAACTACTAAAATGATTTTTCATTTCGCTTGGAAGCGGCTTAGTGGATTGTGGTGGTAGAGCATTCCACGGTTCATGCAAATATATACAAAAATCACATGTACGGGCTTTTGAGTTTATGCTTGCTTGCATGTGTATCTGTAAGAATAAACATGCCGGCACATTCACGTATATCTATATGTATATATATATATATACATCCACATGCATGCTTCATAATGTTACACCTTTGTCAACAGTAGCATGCGTAAATGCATGCGCGCGTAGCAAAATTCTATATGTGACCAAGAAACACAGTACTCAAAAAACCCAGGCCCCATGGCAGGCCGCTCTCTTAGGGTTAGGGATTTGGGGTTAGGGGCTTACCTCCCAATCAGTCCCCTGCAGGTGCGGCCGTGATGGCCTTGGCTGTTGTGGGCGTCGTAGCCAAGGCATGGCTGCCTGTAGGAGCAGGTTGTAGGATGGAGGAAGCAATAGTCATATTCGTAGTATGATTGACAATAGTATTAATAGTAAAAATAATATTAATAGTAGGTGTTGAAGTCTACGAACTCCTGGGCTTATATAATGCCACGGTTATTGGAGAACTTCGGACTCTTCTGATTCTTTTTGCTTTTCTTGATCGCATCTCTTTAGCTATACGGCCCTAGACACACTCGTACAGCTAGACCAGCCCTCAGTGGCCTGCTACCCACTTGCAGCGTCAAAGAGATCAGTTTCAGAAAACCTAGTGATCGAGACAGCGAAGAACATGCTACAACTCGGTCCATGCGATGCACAGCTGTGTTTTCGTTTACGGAGCTCAGACCATGATTCGTCTGACACTCCAGAAGCCTTGCATGATTTCCTACAGATTCGACAGACCTAACAATCTGGCGTCTGAAGCAATGCTGAGCTGAGGAGTTCAAGTGCCTGTGAGGGTGGTTCTTCGCGTACTGAATAATTTTTGAATAGACTTATGAGGTCTTATGAGTATGCTTGCCGACCTCACTGGCGTTGAGTGCCTTTGTTTTTGTTCGTCATTTTCCCTGTTCTTCGCTTTAAGATCCGTTCCCGCCCCCAAGGCCTCCGGCTCCTCGCTCTCCAAGTCCAAGACGCTGGATGAGATCGAGAACTGGGAGGAGCTGCCAGGAATGGACCAGGCGCTGGGTGTCGTAGTTCGAAATTACTCAGTTCGTGCTCCGAGCCATCTCGGTTCTGGGTAGAGCCATAGCATTGCCAAGACGTTGAACGTGCAAGCACGAGCCAAGCAGCGTAAGAGACGGAGCAGGTGATCCACAAGGCCCAGGCCCTGAAGATGGACAAGCCCTTGCGCAACCTGCAAGACTTGTGACTCGGCTGCACATTGGGGTTCAGTCAGTGTGTGTGTG